TCTTTGCAGATTGGTTGGAGGACATGCAAAGCTCTTGACGCGCAGCACCATTGATCTGGAAGATCGTGAGGCCAGTCCAAGCATGTCGATTGGACTTCTGCTGAGTGCCATCCTCGTTGAGGATGTTCACAGAGCCGTCAGGTGTTTCACGACAGTTATCCGAACTGGATCCAAGTACTGCAGGTCGATGGGCACATCGGAGAACTTGGGATGTCGACTGTGGAATGTCGAGGCATCACATGATGACGTAGAAGACAACCAGCTTTAACTTCCCAAAAGTCAGTGACCTTGTCAGTCAGTTGGAAGTAGCCCGTAGATTCATCAAAAGTCTATCCGAGTCTATCCTTTGGGCAGCTGATCGGTCTCGACATCCTGAACGGCAAAGGCCTGGCAGAAGTTGACATCTTCATCAGACTTGGGAGGCTTCTCATAGGGCTCAGCTCGGTTGAGTTTGGCGGCTGCCAACGGCAAGAAACGGATATCTTTGCCAACAGGGATCCCACAAGACTCCACTTCCAGAGGCTTTCCCTCATGCCAGTGGCTTATATGCTCACAATTTTTAAGATGGAAGAAGGGATCCCACAGGATCCAATTTCCAGAGGCTTCCCCCCATGCCAGTGGCTTATGTGCTCACTATTTTAAAGATGGAAGAAGAGGACCGCAACAAGCACCCCACAGCTCCAAAAAGCTCCCGGCCAGGATGTGGCCAAAAACGGCCGTTTCAGCTCATTCCCATACTAGCGATTTAAAAGCCGGCCTAGCAGCCGCCAAACTCCCAAATTCGAGCTCCAAAAGGCTCCCGGCCAAGATTTGGCCAAAAACGGCCGTTTCAGCTCATTCCCATACTAGCGGTTTAATAGCCGACCCAGAGCAGGCTCGTAGAGGGCAGCTGTCGCTGGATCCAGGTAAGGCACATGTGCCGGCACTGGCTGGTGCAGTTGGAGAGTCAAGGTCAGGAAAGTGCGTAGGCACCGGTGGAGCTCCAGTCGCTCCAGTCACAGCTAGGGGGTTCCAGCATCACAGAAGGTGGAGCGGAAGGTTCTCCACTCGGTTCAGTTTCATCTCCAGTCAAATCCACGGTCGCAGTGTCAGTTGGTAAAGCTGCAGTGGGCAGCGTTGGTGGTGGAGGCATTGGTGCATCCCCTCCATCTTCATCATCATTCAATGCCGGAACAGTGGCCGAATCAGCTGGAGTTGTTGGCTTATACTCCGTTGCGTTGCCAGGCTGGGGGCTCAAGTCCAAATCCAACCCACCAGCTGCTCCAGGAGACGCAGCAGTAAAAGGATCCAGTTGAGTTCGATGTCGCAGAGGTTGGTCATCATCACCATCGCCCATCTCCTCTTCATCGGACATCACCTCTTCGATGTTGCGCTTGTTGGCGGGGCTGAGATCCAAAAAGCGGGTCACGCCACGGGATTTCAACTCCAAAACTGATTTTCGGGTTTCAGCAATGTCCCCAACCAAGGTGTCAGCGGCCTGTCAGAAGTCTGGCCGAACAGGGTGAGGAGCACATCGAAGCAGCTGGCTTCCATGTGAGAGCCAATATTGATATGGCTTGCCATCGGCTTGATCTTCTCGGAGAATCACTCTTGCAGGGGCCAGCCGGCCAGCCATCTGATCTTGCACAAGTCGCTGGCTCTGGCATCACGCCAATACCAACATCGTTGCCCAGGTTGAAGAAGGACGTTGGTGCCAGCGTAGCGTCGAAGCAGTGCCCTTCTCAAACGTTGATCCTCATCAGCACGGAGCAGGGCCATCTTGGCAGAGGTGCGAAGGGACAGGGTCTCCTCAAAGGTCTGAGAACCTCCAAGTTGAGAAGGTGCAATCTCTTCAGAGAGTAAATCACCAGAAAACTGTGGCTGTGCCAGTGAAAATCCAGCAACCGTGCACATTGAGTTCATCTAAGGCACCACATAGGACAGGGCTGTCTTGATGCCTTATTTGTTGTTCAGGCCACGGTCGTAGAGGAAGATCTCCACAGCGCGACTCAGCATTTGATGTCTGCGCTCCACAGCCCCAGGGGCCATGTTGGCCCATCCACGGCCTGGGATATCCCAGGTGCCGATCCCTCCAAAAGGCAGTGTTGATGGAAACCATCACATTTGCGCTGCAGCTCAAGGAACATGGCATGCTTTGTAGTCTGCACTGCAGTGGCCTTCTTGGTAGGCTTCCAGATTCCATCCACATCTTGGCATTGGGCACCGTAGGCGCAAGCATCAAACTCAGCTCGGTATCCAGGAAGCTTCATCAAGGCCGTAGTGCGCCAAGATAGAGCATCTTTGGGTTGCTCCAAGTGGCAGTGGCAGCCGTTGGCAACTTGTCGCTCAAAGATGCGACGGCAAAACTGCAAGTGCACAGTGTGGTGCCATTCACGGGGTTCACGCAAGTGCTCCTACCGGTGAGAGCCACACTTCATCCGAAACTTCAAAGTCAAGGCGTTCCAGAGACTGCTTTCGTTGGTCCGGCTGGTCAAAATCCCAACCGTTGCCCAAGGAGAAAATTTCAACCTCAGCACAAGGCTTTCAGCCACAGAGGCTACACGACCACGTCCAGCATAAACTTCCCAGATCACCCTGCGACGAGTGGGCTTGTGGAGCTCTTCAGTCACATAGACATGGTATTGGTTGCTTTCTGCTTGCAGGAGCTCATCTGCAGTGCGCAGTCGATGTCGTGGAAGAAGACATTCACCAGGTTCTGGTTCATGTTGAACTTCAACAGCAGGGGAGTCATCCATCAAGGCAAATGCAGACTCCTCCTTCTCAAAGTCGGCCAGGGTGACCTTGTAAAGTCCATCGGCCGTTCAGGCTTCCAAAGAGGAAGGAGATACTGACTCACCGTGAAGTCCAATGGTGGCACCCCTCCATGGCCCATCGTTCAGTCGAACAAGGCGCTGTTAAAAGTCCATGGCAACGCCAAGAGCCTCAATGATGGGGCGTCCACATAACATCGGGGTTTCACCCTTCACGAGGAAGACCTGAGCATGGCCATAGGAACCAGATACGAACATAGGCATGTCCATCACCCAGTGAAACCAGCTTTCGCCATCACCTCCACAGTGGAACTTGTGGCGGCATCGGAAGAAGTTAATCTTCTCGATGGGGTAGCCCTGAGATGCCAGGAAGGTCAAATACCTTCTTGCAGGACCAAAACCACATAGAAAGGCCGATACGCCGGGGTCAAGCATCGCAACGTCGGCTCGCTCATGTCCTTGGGCATCTTGAAAGGTCACATGGGCATCTTCAAGTTGGGCAATGGACCCCGTTGCTGCTGGAGGGCGCTTTGTGCCAGTCTTGGATGGCACTGGACAGTTGGCGGCAACGTGGCCAGGTTGCCCGCAGCGAAGACAACATAGAGCAGCTTTGGCACGTGCTTTGGGCTCAGCAGCTTTCATGGGAGCAGGGCTGTACTTGTAGGTCGCCGGCTTCCCTTACTGAACCACCTTTTGAACTGCCTTTTGACTTCCCCTTCTTGCCCTTTGACATTGGGCTGGAACCTGGAGAAGTAAGCAACGATTGGCAAAAAGCCACGAGCCAACCGCAAATCTGAAAAACGTTTGCGGGCATCCAAGTAGGCTGCAAAGGCCTGGTCGTAGGACCCCACATCGTGCCAGGGAGCTTCATTCATCGTCCCATCACCGGCATCATGCTGATAGTATACAGCGCTGGAGTCAAAGAATTCAGGCTTGTGCCATCTTGTGCCACTCTTCAGCTTCTTCGGCATCATCGCCCTCATAGTAGGCTCCATCGTCAGCCCATTCAGATTGCCATGCGGAGGCACCATCGTCGTAGAGCTCGTCAGGGTCATAGCTTTGTGCAGCATAGCCACGGAACTTGTATCCCTCGTGGAAGGGTTTGCCATGACCACCATGCGTCGCCTTGTAGTCTTGGCCCAAGACCAGGTACAAGGCCTCGACCACCTTTTTCCGTTCAAGCGAAGGAGCACGGGGTGTCACCAGTTGGCGCTGCTCCTTGGTCAAGTTGGCTTTCTTAAGGAGATGCCAGCCTTGCACAGCGTTTGGCAAAGTCACATTGTGTTTCTCCAGCTTACGGTGGTATTCATCATGGTCAGAAACGAAACTCAGCAAGGTTTGGTTGGGTTTCCGGGTCAAACTGAAGTAGTTGTCAAAGTCCACAGGCAACTGCACACGGTCATCATACTGAAAATGTCCATCCAACAGTTCTTCTTCATCTTTTGAAACATCGAAATCCTCAACCAACCTCCATGCTGTTCCCGTCAAAGAACCAACTATGCTAAGGATTGCTTCACCGCTTCTCTTACCAAGGACCATCTTGTGGTAATACAGCTGTATCCGTTTCCTCCATTCCTTGTAGTCGGACGGCTGTCCTGTGAAAACTAGAATCCAAGAGTCAGGTTGGGAGGTTCCTTCAGAGGCCGGTGCCGAAGTAGGACTTCCCGTTGCCATACACAGAGAGGTTCACCTGTTCGAATTCAGCAACTTCCACAGGGACCAGGGTAGCTAAGAACAATGCTCGATCAGGTCGGTGCCCTTGTCCAGGAAGTTATGGTAGAGCTCAAATTTCCGCTGGCCTTTGAGCTCTGCTACCAATGCAAAGCACACGGGGTTGTAGTTCCAAGTGCGCAGCCCGCCACCTCCCGAAGTGCAGCGGGGCAGCCAAGAGGCACAGGTCTCTTCCAAGACCAACGGCGTAGTCGCTTCAGCAGAAAGTTCCCTTGCTGTGAGGGTAAAATGGGCATATTGGGCCGGAAAAGTGGCCAACTGCACTGGATGGACATGTTGCATGATGGACATGCAACTCACAACATACAGGTGGTAAATGTGGGTGTGCAAGTGATCCATACAATCAGCATGGAAGTTTGGCTCACGTAGATAGAATATGTTTTATGTTTTCCAAACATATTTTGCCAATTTTGGTGTTGAGTTTTGACATGATCATAGTCTATCTACTTCCGGAGGACTTTATGTACAAGATATTCTTCAATTCCTCAGCGGACCTCTGGTCTGTTTCAATCGGGCCAGGAGATAAGTTCAAAGGGGAAAACTTCACAAGCGAAGACTCGCAGCTGCAGGGCAAGGGAAAGAGCTGAAGGGCTGGTTCATGATTGTTACAAACGGGATTTATTTTTGATGGAGAGAGAGAGAGAGAGAGACATATATATATATATAGCAATATCTCCATAGTTAGATGGGGTTCTAAAATGTTCTACACCAAATGTCTAACGGTTAAAGCACTTCCTGCAGGCTTTGAAAAACCATGAAGTTAACCCCTGGAGATCCCTGGGCTGACCAGTTTCTGCCCAAGGATCCTGCCACCAGCTACGTGTGCATCTTGGTCGACAAGAAATTGTGGAGTTGCTAGTTGCAATTGAAATTGGCCTACACATGTGTGGATGTCTCTAGAACTTTGGAAGTTTTCCTCCTTAAGATTCATTAGCCGATTTGAGTCGTAAACGGGATAAACCCAGTTCAGGCACTTACATCCACTCATTTTCAGGGACTTGCTATCCACCTAGTTGAACATCGAAGAAAGGAATTCAGGCTTTGATTCAGTGACTCACCTGTCAGGCATTCAGCTGGTGAAACCTATGACGGAAGTGGCGAGATGCTCCATGTGGGAATGTCTATCAGCAGGCTTCATGGGCAGCCAGAAATCAATGGCCGTTGCTCCTGGAAAATACCAGTACTTGGCTAAGCCAACAGCCCCTTGGTCAATGGAGGATGTGAAGATGGTCGTTTTTTTTTAGATGTGTCAGTGCGTCAAAATCCGTGGACTGTTAATGGGATGGAGATCCGTTCACCAGCGATTTTTGATCCATACCAATTTCGCGCAAGATATCAGCACAATCCTTGCAATGGTCGATCAACATTTGGGAATCATTGCAGAGATGGCGGGTTCTACTTTGCTAGACGATCTGGCCCCAAAATTTGATTTGACTTTGGAAACAACGACTTTGCCCCTTATAATTATAACTTATAAATAAATCTCGGCTTTCATCCCCTGCCCTCAGTCTGGAATCATCTTGTTTTTCTTTGCGTTTGCTAGTAGTGGCGCTTATGTTCATTCATCCAATCCCATGCTGTGTAGGCCGTATTCGCACTCTTCGCAAGGTGTAGGCAAGTCTGTAATGATTCGATCTTGAATTGTCATATCCATACCTAGTGTTTTGGACTGATGGAGCAAAGTACAGCAGCTACAGCAGTTTTTGGGATATCTTTCCCGCCAGGTAATGGTAAGTCACTGCTGGTCGAGTTCCTACAGAGAGCTGATGCAGATTCTGAAGCGCTATGATGAAAACACCAACAGGACTGCGACGTTTCGGTTTTTCTTCGATTTCTCCGATCTGATGCTCTGAGTTTCTGGGGTGAAGTCTTTCAGTCTATCATAGTCTGTTAAGGTCAGGATTCGGTGGCGTCCTAAAAATCCGAAACTCAGGAGCAACTACTTCTTCTTGGATGTCTTCAGCATGAATCAGCATGATTTTGCTGACCTTGGCTCTCGGGACAGTCATGCGCTTCGAGACATGTATGACACCATGCTGGAGGCACTCACCCAATCAATCAAGGTGCCCGGCTGCATGTTGTTGGCTCTGACTCCCCATGACCGACCCAAGATGTTGACGAGATCTTGGTGTCTCTATGAGATCTACATCGCCTGGAAGGTCAAGGCCGAAGTTTCCTGTGGGTTCATCCCGGAAGCCGAAGAGTCCATTAAGCGCAGCTTGACCAAGGACGACCGCTTTATCCGTCGCTTGCTGAGTACCATCGATGCCGAAGCATCCTCGGCCACAATGAAAACGGATCGTGATATGATCCTGCAGCTCATCCACAGTGCCGGGATCCAAAGGCTGGCTGAGTTGGTGAACTTGGTGAACCTTGGGAACCAAGGTGGTTGCTCATAGGTGTGAACACGAATTTTGCCCCAATTGTTAGCATGCAGTTTTTTTTTTTCCAGTGGCTTCACCTTCACATTCCCTTACCTTCTTCGCAGACTTGGTTTCACGGAAAATTTGCCAGCCCTCCCCATGTTTGGCTGGTATATGATTTTTGGTGGATATTCCTTCAACTTAACCAGTACGAACGTGTCACATGTCCTGTTCCGATTCGCAAAATCAGGAAACTCTGTGTTTCTTTCTCTTTTTCCATGAGCCTGCGAGACTCCGTGAAGTTTTTCCCTTTGGGCAGGTTTAATTCTTTTGTCCGTGAGAAGCTGCGAAATTCCTTACGCGTCGTGGCCCTGACGACCCTGCGCGAAGTGGAGGGCGCGGGGACCGACTCTGAGGCGCTCTCACCCAGGCAGGGATGGTGGGGAATGATGGGAATGGGATGGAATGGGATGGAATGGGATGGAATGGGATGGAATGGGATGATTGTTAAATATTGTTAATAGATGTTAATAGGATTCCTATAATAGTTATTGAATGTTATTGATCATTCTCCCATTACTAAGTACATCTAAGTCTTACTAAGTATCATGGGATTGTGGGCAGAGTAAAAGCATGACACATGAGATTTTGGGATATAGACTCTAGACGCTATTGGGATATTCTTCTGGGAGAAATGAAGCAACAATTTTGGAGATGGCATTGTCTTAAGATAACGGGATATACAGTAACATGATTTGAGCCCAATTTATCACATTTGCCACATTTGCTGGAAAAAAGGCGAACTGCAAGCTCTTCAAGATTTTGATGGTCCTCTTTTACCATGGAAACCATTCTTCCTTCCATGCAGGAGCGAAGCCTCTGAACCCGTTACCCGGAGTGCCTTTGTGCACGCCGGTCTCTCGGGTGACCGAGATTTTCACTCAGAGGAGACCATCTCATTCTGAGGGAAAAAGCGGAGCTGTTTCCACAAAGATGGCGATTGCTGGGCTGGAACGGAAGTAAGATAAGTAAGGCTAGGTAAGGGGTTCCATTGATGTTTCCATCAATTTCCATCTCTCCAGAATGTAACTGCATCCATTTGTTCATCCACTTGTTCGTGAGTCTAGCGATGTTTGATGGATTGAGATCATGTTCGGGTCACTTTGTTGCCAGTCAATGCTTAACCAGCTCAACCCATCCATGTTTCAGCGCTTGAAAAGATCCATCATAGAGGCAACAAAAACCCGGCAGCAGGTACTTGGGTGGTTGAAATATGTTGAAATGTTAGGAACCTGGTAATGCCCTACAGTCCGGTAACTCAACCTTCAGCAGCGAAAATGGCTGTCAGGCTGACAAAGCAGTTGGATCACGATCCTGGCGATGATTATGGAGGTTGTCAAGTCTGAGATCACATTTGGTAAACAAGCATTTATATGGTTGTGAGTCAAAACCTTGTACCCCTGGTGAACATCAAAATAGCTGGGATTTATGGATGTTCATTCCCCTAAAAATGGTATCTATAGGATTCTATAGGTATTGATCCATAGCCATATCAATTTCTGGAACCCCTTGCCAGGGCAGAGCAGACACCTCTGGGGTGCCAAGGGTTTAACATGGTTTAACTATGAACCATGCCGTTGGCGTGACAATTTAACGGTTCTTCATTCATGCAGAAAACGGATAGACATGGCCAATGACATCTTTTTTAAAACTTCAGGGTTGTTGCCCAAATGGTAGTTGGGTAGACTTTCTTGTTGAGGTCGAGATAGCAGCAGCTCTATATATATGGTCATGGCGCAGCCACAACAGATTGGCCGAAGATCCTGGTTGCAGGTTGTCTTTGAACCATGACTGGATGATAGTGAAAGACAACTGGGAGACTCATTTGATTGGGGTTATAATTGGGGTTATCAGTTATCCAGTTGAGTGCTGGATTACAGTCATCTTTATCTTTACTAGTTCTAAAGTGAGATGATCCTCCAAGCAGAAGTCTCAGACTTGCTGCTTGAGTCAATGTCATGTTTCTTGTATGGTCTTATACAGTGCAAGGAGAGTCATCATGATGAACTGAAATTTACAGATTTTGGCCATTGCTCTTTAGGGTCAAAGTGTCTTTCTTGTATAGGGTACACTAAAGAAGAGTGTTCAAAGCGAGAGGGAGCATCCAAAGCACCGTATCCATTGCGGAGGTTTCTGACATGGCATGAGCACAAACAACTGAGTCCTGTGCAGTGGGTTGACCAGAAACGGGGTATACAACACAGTGCTAATTTGAGGGGGAAAATCGATGACACCGCCTTGGAATTTTGGATACTACATTTTTAAACAAACCCCTCAAAAAGGAATCTATATACAAACTGAGCCCTTTTACCATTCAGGTTGTAGGCATATCCCTTTACAGCCTTAAAATAGATTAGTCAGCAGACAGAGAGCTGTTGGCAACATGCCTCACAATTGCCTTTGGATGAACCCTCGAGTTCGCTCTAGTCAGATCATATTAGATCATGGATAAACAGACATGATCCACTTGGTTAAGTGGTTGGAATCTGCTTGCCAACCATCTATGCACTTCTTGATCATATTCAATCCTGACTCTGCTGCAAAGTGTCGGGGCTTGACCCTGTGAATTCGTGGATTTTTAAATCGGCCAAGTTGACCCATCTCAGGTCATTTTAATCCGTGCTTTTGGGGTCGCCGTCCCAAAGTTTGTCAGAAGCAGGAAGTGCTGGATGGTTTTGGGGACAGCAACCCTATGTTCTTAGAGCCTGTGAGTCAGGCTTTACAAGCGTGGAGATGCAACACGGCTCGCAAAAAAGGTGAAAATTACTAAGTGCATCCCTCAACCCCTCATGTGTGGAAGCGATCATCCGCCCGATTTTTCTCAGCCAACAAAAATGGAGGTTTCATGGAAGTACCCAAGTACCCCCAAATCATCCAAAATTAGATAATTTTAGTATTGAACCTAAATCCCCAAGTCGACACTGGACCTCTTCGGAACCGTGGCTGGACGGATCGAGCGACCTTGACGGGAGGTCACAAAACTAACGCGTCTTGACTGGGATCTAAGAATTCTTCACGGGGGTGGGTCAAACTTGGGTACTGTGCGCCAAAATGGGGTGGTTTACTACCACAAAATGACCAGAATCTAAAGTTTTCTGGCTCTTGAAGTGTGACTAATGTGAAATTGGGCGCGCTTTCAACATCAGCATTGAGATCATTGGATCTGCGCCCGATAAGTCGATAAGCCAGCAGCTGACGTGGATTTAAGTAATCCAAGATTTATGAATGTGTTTTCTTCCACATCTTTCATTTGGTAGGTCCAAGCCTTAGCATATTCATTTCTAAGAGCTAGCTGGACATCTGGATAGTGGGTCAAAGTCAAAGACCCTGGGAAAACATCTCGTTGTAGAAAGGAATGATTGACACCAAGATGTGTGATATTTCCGCACCATCTTTGCACCATCCAAGCTGCTTAAAAACTGCGACCCGCCGCACCTTTTGCCTCCTGTGTGGACGCGATGGACCTGGTTGGGCATGGCCAAGCTCGATTTTTTGTGTGATCCTTGGTTTCGTTGGCCCAAACTCTGGGGGAAAGGGAGACATATTGACAGCCTGCAATTCAGCTGCCAAATCTGAAGCAGAAACACCTACCAAGGCAGCTTGGAAGGAACTATCAGCACTTGGCCTTGGAGGCTCAGCCACATTGCCATCCCAAACTCGTTTTGTGTTCTGGACTTCAGGGTGCCAGGTCTCTGGGCCCTGGCTACCCCCAATCATTGGCGTGTCATGCAGCATTGCATGGTCGAATGCCTGGCACAGGTGGCTCAGTTGGCCCGTGTGGCTTGCGAGGGCGCCACAGCCGCCACAGCCACCCACCTGGAGGCTGGGAGGGTACCCCAGATCTTGCATCAACCCTTTCCAGTGCTTTCCAGTGTGACGCAAGAACTCTCCCTTGTGGATTGCGACATGCATACAAGCGGGATCAAAAGGGGTCTGACCTTGCGTCATTGGCAAATGGATGAAACCTGATAAACTACTGGAATTTTAGGGCACTCGATTTTTGGACAGGTGGCAGTTCGCGGTGACTTTGCTGGGCAGGCCTGGGTACTGCTAAAAGAATCCGACAGACCATGGGACACCGACACCACAACTGACACGATCATTTGAGCAAAACCTGACTGTCGAGAACTGTTGCTTTGCGTTTGGACGTATGATCCCCTGAAAGCAAAAGGTCGCCAAGGATGTAATATGTTCGCCAAAATGACATGATTTGACGCGCAAAATGACCATCATCCTTCATGGTTCCATACGCACCCCTTTCTTGAGCCATATCCAAAGGGGTATGGCCCGGCTCAAGTCATTGCGGTACAAATTGAAGCCATATTTTTTGTTTTGGTAATTGGAATCTTTAAACCATCCATCATATTTTCCATCATTGGTTATTGGTAATTTTCCATCATTTTTGGGATGGGACCATCCATCCATCATATTTTCGAGGGTGTCATTTTGTGCCATCCCAAAAATCCATGAGGTTTGGCATCTGCCACTGCCTTGTGCTCCTGCACTACCCACCCCAAAGTTGCAGTGGGAGCAGTCTTTTGAGGCACATTCGGTTGGATGGCAATTGTTTGACCCTTTTCAAAAAGCGTCTTGGGCGTGGGTATGGGAGGGTCAAAACTTATGAGCACCGAAGTAGATGGACAGAGCTTGTTTGTTTTGGATGTTCATCCCTCAAAGTTGGTTCAATGGATATTGGCCCCCTGGTGAACCACTGGAGAGCTACAGTACACCTTTTGTGGACTACGGTCGGTTCAAGCGAGTAGTTGGCGAACTCGGTGCATGAGTGGATGTGGCCCAAAGAGTGCGTGGTTTGCCTTGGTACAGCCATGCAAGTTGACCATTCTTCTTGACCGGAATTATACGTGAACACCTGCTTGGGTACAGAGCAGGGGGAAGGAGAACAGCACATGAAACCTGCGAAGGTTGATGCCGCAATGGCCTGGACGTGTGTATGGTGCGCTTGGGAAATGCCTTGGGATGGGGGTGTGATTAACAAAAGCAGATCCAGGGAACCAGATTGTTTGGTCGCTGGTTTAAAAGGGTTAGTACTAACCCTCCATGTTTTGGGCATAGCCAAGTTTGAGGCAAACACCTAGTCTGGGCCGGGTGAGATTTGGGACTCCTGCACTCAATACAAGAGCATCGCAGAGCATCCCTATCAAAAGATCCAACTGATCATTTCTCAGTGGAATATGGATTAACCAACGAAAGTCTCAACCACTTTGCACAGAGAAACATTTTTTGCAGTTTGTTTTATTGGCAGTGATGCATTGTTGCTTCAGTTGCCTTAGCATGGAAGCATGGAAGCATGGAAGCATGCTAAGTCTTATTCACTCAAAGAAATTGTACGTATGTCGAATCTCGCATTCCTGGATTCCATTCTCCTTGCTCTTGGACGAGTCCTGTCATCTCATCGCATGAAAAATATGAAAAATCGTTGAGAGACTCTAACGGACACCATCTTGAGCTCTGAAAACTAGAGTAACTGGAGGCGTTTCTGAGGTCAAGCTGATTTCATTTCGGCAAATTCTGTGACAGGTTCGTACTTCAAGGACTTCTGCTTTGGAAAGCCTTGGGCCTAGCACGTTGCCGCACCGTGACGATTTCAGAAATCCAGTGGCATAGTGGCGCTCCAGGCGTGGAAAGGAGTGCTGGGACTCCTCCGAAGTCTGTGGCCTTGGCGGCCGCTGAAACCATCTGGGGATATTCCGAAAATGGCAATTTTCATGGAAAAACGATGGAAAATCATCATTTTTAATGGGAACACCATGGGAAACAATGGGAAACTATGGGAAACTATGGGAAACTATGATAACAAACCAGTGGATCTCTGTGTCAAACCAGGTGAGGCACTTTGCAGCACCTAGGCCTTGGAGCCGCCGCTGCGCTGTTGCTGATATTGGACTCAAGGCGTGCAGTGGATGGGGATAGCTTCGAAAGGTGGCAAAGCCAAGTCACATGGGGCCTTCCATGGATTTATATCCTAGATTTGAGAACCTATGGACCATATATGCAATGTACATATATATATATGTGTGTGTATATATATATATAATATAATTACATATGATTATATATATATACAATTGTTGTCATCATATATACAACCAACTGATTTTTGCAGTGACTGGATTTCGATATACAGCTGACCCCGCAGGTCTTGTGAGACAGGAGCCATGCCGGCACTGTCGAAGCAGGCGCCCATTGGCTCGTGAGCAGCACCCCTTCTAAAGCTCCGCTTCATATGGTCTACAATTGTATGAGGCTCCATTTAAAATAGACAAAGAAGGGTCATTTCATGTGACCTCCCATGATTTCCTCGTGAAATGACCAGCATTCCCAAGGTTTTAACCGGCCCTGATGGATTCAGTGCCTTCCATGTGAGGCTATAGCCTCCTCGGTGGGTCTTCACGGTGTAGCAGCGGCACTGGCTGTGGCGGAAGGCTTGGGTTCACTGTGGCCCAGGCTGCGGGGGAACTTCGGAGCCATGAGGATTTTGGATTTTGGGCGTGCCCGGGGTGGGGGGTAACATGCCTGTTGCCGTGTCCACAGACTGAATGGGCAGATCTCACACAAGAGGGCACAGTGCATCCACAAGTCATTTTCAAGCCTCAAATTTATCAAGTCAAAAGCTGGCCAGAAGGGTGGCCTTTTGCAACAGGGGAAGCGTTCTATTTGGCAGGTTTTTCCACATTTTTACTATCTCAATGGTAGGGTATCCCGGTATCCCGGAAAAAAAAACGTAAAACTATGTGGAGGTCAGCCCGCACGAGTGTGGCTCGGTGGAGAGGTGGGCGCCACGGTGCTGAGGCCAGGATCTCAGTGGACCTGGAGGTGCACATGAATCATGATAAAGTTCCAATGCAAATTCATGTGTATACAGTATATATTACAGTATTTATACATTATATACATATATCATGTATATCTTTGGGATTTCCAAACCATCTGGAGAGTAGATTGACTATCACCAAAATGTTCCAAACAATCAGCAAAATTGATCATCTTTGTTTTTTTTTGTGTGTTTAAACCATTGAAGCCCAAACCATCAACCGCCAGTTGGGGTTGTTTACTCAGGTCCTGTCGCACCTTGCTGCCCTGGCTGCCCTGGTGGTTCCCCATGGCTCCGCCTGGCAGCTAGGTGGGGGAAGCTTGCAGACACGAATGATGAAGATGGTACCAGGTTAGATTTTCCAGATTTGGATGCCACTAAAGGGCTAAAGGGATCCAACAATTCTGAAATTTCTCAGCCCTTTGGGGGGAGATTTCCGATTGGATCCAAAGCCAGCACTGCAGGGCTTTTTGTGGGCCTACTACCAACAGCCTCAACAGCCCAAGATGCCCAGTACTGCGCAGGGTGCGGAGGTGTGATGAAGTGATGAGGTGATCATTTGGTTGACAGCTGCATAGTGCGGGTGCGGAGTAGGTTCCAATGTGCGATGTGGATACCCGCTTTTCCCAGCAAGCTTAACGGAGATGATCGATCAAAGCGTTTTTTTCTGGCATTTGCCCACAAGTATTTTCTGTCATCTTCAAGTCTTCCATGTCCCGGAGCCGTTGTCCCTCCCGCGCTGCTCCAAGGCCTTATTCTATGGCTCCCAGCTGGCATTCAAGAGGCGGATCTATGCATCAAAATGATCGCCCAAAATGAGCATTTTAATGAGGAAATAACGAACATGACATGATGATCAATTATGATTCCACATGCGCTGCGCGGCAGGTGGATCTTCCCAATGGAGCTGGGTCTGGGACTTGCCCTGGCCTTGATCCAGCATTTGTCAGTTGCTCTTGGTTGGTTCACCTGTTGTTGAAGATAGTTGTCAGTGTGGGATTTTGGTGTGTTTCATGACCTCTTTCCCGGGATTCCATCTCCCTGGGCTCAAATTTCAGATTTATATATCTGCAGCCATGGCAGCGCAGATGGAGGTAGGCTTGGTGGAGTGGAGAGGATGTGTGGCGCAGCTGCTGAACCTCATCAGTCCTGTGGCATGCTTCAGTGAAGAGCGAGGTGTCTTGCCTGTCACTATACCAAACTGCTGTGTCAACGGAGCATTTGGACCTGTTGGGACCTACACTTAGAGGCAGTTTTGATGTCAAAGCGAATTGGAGAATTGTGACCAGGTGGACATGGACCACACACACAGATCACAAACCCAGCAGAGTGAGAATCTCAACAAGCGTCAAAGATGGTGCAAGGGATCTTCACTATTCTTCATGCCTACTTGTAGCCTAGTGAAACATCCATCCATTGTTTTTTTCTGGGGCTGAGAATCTGATGTTCTCGGTGTTCTCCATCTTCTTTTGCCAAGGTGGGGATCAGATTCACGTTTCAGTGCTGAGTTGCTTCCATCGCATCGTGGAGGATCTCCGTTCCACCGGGCAGCTGCTAGAGGTGCTCTCTGCAGATCTGGCCTCGGCCCAGGTGGTGCTGACATTCTTGGCCCAGCAGACAGGGGAACCAGGGGAACCAGGGGAACCAGGGGAGCTCTCGGCAAGCAAGTGCTTGGAAGGCATTTTGAGACACCCGCAATGGAGAGAGGAATTCGAAGGTTTCTGGGCGAAGTCTTTGGTTTCTTAGTTTTTTCGATTTGAGAAGGACGATGAACATTTCTCAATGGTCTCCCTTCAAACCTTTGTGGTGCTTGTAAATCATCCTCCAAGTGCAGGGATTATGAGCTATGTAGTTGTGCCCAGAATGCTTTGTGATTTTTCCGCTTTCCAACATTCCTCCGAAAGCCGAGGTTTGAATTTGCAGCAAACTATTTCGTATGAATGCCACTACTTCCTTTCCAGGGCTGGAGTGCAGCTTCCTGAGCAGAAACACCAAAGCGGGACCTGGGAGGAGGATCACCGTGAATCTGCAAGAAGCAGTTTGCAGTGCACCTTGCATGACGCTTTGCCAAATTGCCATCGGAGCAGCGGTCCCCCAAAGTATCTCGAAATACGAAGAAAAAAACATGTTAATAATTGTTAATAATATTTGCCTGCCATTGCCATGTTGTGTGTCAAAGTCGCGGGCTCTCTTGTTATCCTGTTTGACTTCCTGGTGCATGGGGAGAGGACCGAAAATGGCAGGTTCATGGCCAGCTTGACCGTGGGATCCCGTGATTTATGGGATACTGCCTGGGTATTGCCTGGGTTTGTTGTCAGCATCGTAGAAGATATTTTTGACTGGATCCGTTCTCTTAGTGAATCCTTAAGTCCGAGATCTGGGACCAGATAAAAGGACAAATGATGAATGATGACTAATGATGACGAAAGACGTCGAAGGACGGTAAAATGATGAAGATGGACCATGGATGTGGAAGGATGTGGATGACGGACGGTGATGAATAACTATGAGTGATGAGCACTGTTGCTTCGATCTCTAAGGACAGCATGCAGCATCTGGTCACGCATGGCGCACGCATCCTGGTGCTTGGTGACCGTGGTGTCGGGAAGAGCAGCCTCATCAATGCAGCTTTCGGACAGAAAGTGGCCGAGACAGGGGTTGGCTTGTCAGTGACTCAGGACATCACCTTGTGCCCTGGCAGAGACGCCAAAAATCCTTTGACACAATTTTCTTTTGACCACGGGGATCCCATGCTCCATCTCCCATCCAGGTACAGGGCATCGGAATGCTGTCCAGTGCATATCTACGACACCAAGGGCTTCGAGACATTGGATGCAGAACTGGAGCAGCTCCATCAGTTGGTCCAGGAGCGACGAGCGGCAGCTGGCAGGTATCACTTGGAGGATCCACGGCGAATCGCTGAGCAACTGCATGCAGTGTGGTGGGTGATTGATGTCATTGGAGGAGGACGATTTCAGCCTGAGCACATGCTGCAACTCACTTGAGAAAGGGCAAGGGCCGGCAAGGGGTTATTGAATAGCCATTGTAGCCACTTGAATCGAAAACAAAGATGAAACCCCTGAAAAGGAGGTTAGAGGGGTGTTTGGTGGCAGTTTTTTGTTGATTCTATGTTGAATATATGTATCTTTATATATATATATATACATATGATATGCTTTGATACGGCTGTAAAACAATTGAAAGTCGAGAGTTCAATCACCACAGAGCTGCAATGAGGAAAGTGTACAAGCTCCTTCAACATGATGGTATTCCAGTTGTCCTGGTTCTCAACAAATGTGATGCGGAAGAGGACTTTGTGCAGGGAGTTCAACATTCCATTCGCGAACACTGCCAGTGGGCCAGCGGCATTGTGCAGGTGGCCTCAGATCCTCGCGTGGGTCCCCCGAGGTTCCGCTGTCACCTTTGCCTTTCGGACGAGATTCTGATCAACGTGCGCAAGAGGTCTTACATGTGCGGCTGCAGCGAAGGTGTGGCACTTCCATTCAAGGCTCATTATGGCGTGGCTAGGCTGCCAAGATCCACGAAATGGGTCGGTCTAAAAACAGCTGGTTTGGGGGTATCCCTTAAAACCCTACCCTTTGCACATGGGTTTGTCCTTTGTGCAAAAATCGGGATTACCCCGAAATCCATCCAAATCCGAATTTATATAATGGGAAAATGATGATAAACCATTGGATTGTGGGGTATCCTGTATTCTGACAAACTCATTGATTTTCTGGAACACCCAGGTTGATGTGCTGGTTCAGCAGACTGTCCAGTGGCTGCCCGATGTTGTTGCCAGCTCGTTTCAACGTGCTCAGAATGTTTCTGCCATTGGCTTCGTATTTTCGTGTACTTTTAAAATCTTTTAAACGTTTTTCAGCCGTTGGCCACGTTTTTCCTATTAGCTTTTTGAACCAGAAGCAAAGTAAAGAGCGAGCCCATCGAAGACCCTAAGGTGTGGTTGGAGGGTTTGGATTTTTCAGCTCACGCCACCATCGGATCCTTCTGCGCGGCCTCTGGTTTGCTGGGTGCCATTCCCCTGCCTGGTTCACGGTTCTTCGTGGTCCCGTCGCAAGTGATGATGATCCTGGCGCTGGCGGCCATCTACAAGGTGGATACCTCCAAAATGGTCATCGAATGGGTGAAATAATGATTCATGATAAACTATGATAAACTACGAAATTTTGGGGTACCCTATATTCAGACAAACATATTGGAGATGGAATCTATATTTGGACTATCTACAATAGGAGGATTGAAGTCTTGTTTAATCAGCTACAAGGGAATTCGATATTTAGATCACCATACAACTGGGGCTGGTTTTTTCCTGTTTTCATGTTTTTTCATGTTTTCATTGGAATTTCACACTTCGAACGCCTACAAAACAATACACACATTTCACTCATATTGCCATGATGAATAAACCCATTCTCCACTGGGCTACATGTTTGGTCACTTGCCTTTTTTCACCTCCAGGTGGTGCTGTCCAAAAAAGCCGCGTTGCACCTGTGCCTCTCCATTGCCACATCTTCAGCCACAACTCTTCCAGCATACTTCGCCGGTGAGGCCTTGAAACTGGTGCCGGTTTTGGGCCTGGCAGCCATGGCGGTGGATGCATCCATGGCTTTGGCGAGCACTGCGGCGCTGGGAATGGTGGCGATGAAACTGCTCCGGGAGGCACGGTGGGAAAAGCATGATGAGGATGGGAATTGGTGAGATTAGATGTGATGATGTGGATCTGGGATTGAAATTGATTGATTCCTAGCCATCAGCTAAGTGAAAGTTGTGGGGCAAGGGGATTGATTTTGATAGCTTTACAGTGTACAGTAGGTGAACCAAGAGGGTTTAGACTTTAAACAAAGTGATGTTAGCTTGACAAACAATTCCATGCCTTGGTGTGTTTTGTTTTCGCATTTTTTCCCAGTATATAGCTTTACTGAATCTCACGATTTTAGTTCTGCATTATCCAAAAGGGCCTCACCTGTCGTTGCCTGTCGTTCGAGAACTACCTCATCAATAGAGATTGTCTGGATTAACTTGATATTTCACAACTACTTGAAGCAGTCCCACATATTGTCGAACGTCCAAACAAAAAAAAACATCCATCTATCGCGATGTATTGTCAATCAGCTGATTTCAGATGGAACACAAATCCCAATATGACCAGAGACGTGTCAAAGTTGATAGCAGCATATGTCAGATGACAAACGCAGCCTCCCGGCAACAAAGTTGCAGAAACGCGCAGAAAACATTTGGCAAAGAAAGCAAAGATGGAAACGAAGATAGAAGAAACCCAATTCTTCCCATTGTCTTCCCATTATATTCCTATTCTATGCCATCAAGCCAAATTGTATTCCCAGCAATCAGGAACTCTTCGGAACTCCGCCCACCTCCCTGGAGGTTCGTTCAAAGGCAATCCTGGGGCAAGTGCAACCGAAGGACCTGGCAACGATTATGGATCACAGTGATCTGCGAAGGACCGGTGCGAACAGTGAAGGTGAACTTGTGATATGGGTGTTGTTGGTGAGTACCAACAAAAATCCCAAAATTTTGGGTTGATGAAGATTCCGACAGATCCGTTTCTTCATTTTTTGGATGGTCAGCAGGGGACCAAGGTTACGACGGGTACACATATTAAACATTGTACAACCGACAGAGCTTGTGGATTTTACTCAAGTCTAACAGGCCGCAAGGATGCTTGGAACTCAAACACGTGTCATTTTTGGAAGCACAATGGAACCCAGAACTCTAAGCATACCCTGGTTTGGCGTGCTTTAACATTCCTGGGACACTCAGTTTGTATGGGTCAACCATGGTCAAACTGTGCAGCTGGCAGGATGTATCAAAACTTGTTCCAAAAACTTCGTTACGCTTCAACTGGCGCTGTGCAGCTTCCAAGTGAGCTGCGGTAGTAGAATGGAGGTAGTGAGTAGTCAGCAGCTGGACTTTCTCAACCAAATTTGCAGCATTCCAAAGGTTTCTTGATATTGCCGACACAAAAGACACTTCAGTCATGATCTTGAGACCTGAATATGCTGAGAAAGTTGATTCGAAGCTGCGTGAAATTGCATCCACTCCGAAGGAGCGAGTGGTGCCGGGAATGTAACAATCTGAAATTCGCCCTTGCATGCGTCAAAACGAATCGAAATGTGTATCCCCTCTTCCACCAGGAATTGCTTTGGGCTTTCAGGTATCCCAATGTTGATCTGAAGCTGACAGTATTGGAAGGACTTTTTGGGTCCAAGACACCTGAGGCAGCGCTGTGCCACCTGCTGCCCTTCTTTGTCTTCAAGGTGCCTTCATGCACTGGAGTTGCTGGAGCTTCAAGACAGCTAGCTGGCGATAGCTCAAAACCTATGCGCTCTGAACTTTTGAAGGTTGTATGCGATTTCAGATGTGTGGTTCCGATTATTTTCTATTCTATTTGGTAACTTGATAACATATGGTAACATCGTTTTCAACCGGACTGAGTTGACTTGGTCATAGAAGTTTGAGGACGAGATGAGCCCCCCGGCCCGAGCGATTCCCAGGAGCCAGTGCCTCTGCTGCTGGCGTTGCTATCCTGCAGCTGGTTGCTGAGGAGAGGGGCACAGCTGCTGCGGTTGTGAAATGAAGCCCGAGTCAAAACCATGGCTTGGCCAAGTCAAACAACGGGGCGCTTTGATTTCGGGATGGGAATGGGTCAAAACACCTGGTGATCACTCCCAAAAAAAAATTGCCTAGGTTCAACAACCAAACTTAGGGATTGTTAATGAAAATTACTGGTATTATTTCCCCAAATTTTGCCGCACTTCCATTCCTTTCCAAGTTTTTCTTTATGTTGGCTTTGACGCAGTTTGCAACGTTGCCATAGGGTGCCGAAGCTCCTGGCCAACGAGCAGGCAAAGGTACCTGTTGTGGTGGAGCTGATGTGTCATATCAAATCTTGGATCACATTTTAGGAGGAATTTTGCGTGAAATCAGCATATGCAGCATGAATGAAGAACATTTTCTTGTGATCTTTGGATCACCAGAATCAAGCTCTGTCAAGGCACCTCCCTCCAGGGATCACGAGCTCGGAGAGACAGGTGGGCTCAATGAATATGGCTGAAGCATGGGGCACCAAAACAACTGGGGACCAAATTTGTTTTTTTTAGTTCTAAGGAGTTCTAAGCCATCCAGGTTTTTTGGGAACGATGATTTTCAGCTCTAGGCATGGTACCAGACATTCAATCAACGAGAGGTGTAGTACAGGTGTGATGGAACCCTAAACATCCTTTCAACCAGACTCCGCTAAAATGTCGAGCACGGACAGGTCTGATGGCGGAAGAAGACCCAGAGGCGCCATGGACTGCTGGAAGGGGAACGCTAATTCTGGATTGATAAACCCTGGTCGATTAATTGAGGGGTCCCTCCCGCCCAAGTAGTGATAATATACAACTAAGATTATAATACCTCAATCAAACAGCCTAGGGATGCCTAGGGCTTTATTAATCCGGAGTTGACATGACTGCTTTCATGGTCTCTCTCTCTCTCTCTCTCCCTCCAGAGACATGCTGATGTTTTTTTGTCTTTTTCGGGAAGCATAACATTGAGCCACAGAAAGCTGAGCTGTTTCTAGGAGCCGTGTCAAGTCACCATCAAGGGTGCTGGTTGCTTAGCAATGCAGCAGAGCTCATCCACATCAGGAAAGAAACGGTGCAGAGGATTAAACCGACAGACAGCCAAAAGCGCCAGTTGAACATCTGCGAGTTCCAAGATCCCTTAGTTTGTCGGATCCAACTGACTTCCCAGACTTCCCAGGTGAACTATGACGTCACTTCTTTCCTGGAGGACTGTTGGAAGATGACGGGTTTCAATTCAGGGCACTTAGGGCTCACCTCACTGGAGATTTTATTTCTGGTTTGGGGGAGCGTTGGAGACCTCATTTTGCCAAATGGAAATCCACGACTTGTGCTGCGGCTCAAACCAGAGAGTTCATTCTGGTGACAATCTGAAACATGGGACTCCAGTGGTCCATGGCTTTAAAATACTAAGCTGCAGTGGTGCAGTAACGGTAGAGACGGTCATTTTTTTGTTGATCCGTTGGAATCTCAAATCGCTCGGCCATAGCGAAGCGTCATTTCGCCCTCGCAGTGCTGCACAACAATGCCGTTTGCAATTCTGTGCGCAGTTCCATGAATGCAAAATTTGGAGGTTGAAATAATGTGAATTGAGGTGAAGAGTTGGATAGGAGACTGACAGACACTCCTTTTTTTTTTCGGGCTGCTGTCTTGCCTCAGGGAGAAAGCTATGAAACTATTTGTCGCACAATGTCCGCACAGGTCCAACAAGTTTCCAAGTCAGCACAGATATGACAGGTGTTTTTCTTTTTTTGGGCAAGGCTTAAAATTTCACGATATATCATGATATATCAGCATATCACCGTGGCATGCCATGGCCAATCTAAGACTTCTAAGACGTGACGTTTTGGTCCACCCAAGGCTCTGCTGTCCCATGCCGTCGCCCTCACAGAAACTCCGCCATTGCCACAAGGCGGTCAGCTGGATCACTTCAGTGGCTCGGCGATTACAAGAGCTGGTTCCAAGTTCCAAGCCAACATGGCGAAGATGTTACAATGTTACACAAGTCCACCAATCAAGGTGTGACAAGTGTTCCACCAAGCCACAAACCAAGGGATTTATTAAAGTTTCGCTGCAATGGACTAAGTGTTACATGGCACAGCTACCAGGTTGTCGTTTGTCATTCCCACAGTTGCTCAAAAAGCAGCAGTCCGAGCCGAGGCTATTCGGTGTACCTCGATGAAGCCAAGGACTGGTTATATAAGGGTCGCATGGCCACCGCCGAAATTGAGCAGATTGATTGGCAGATTGATTGGCAACCATAGGAGGACTTAAACCTTGACATGGGCCATGGGCTCAGGTTCAGTCCCCAAAATTTTCATGCTATGTTTCTATGAACACAAACACCTACAAGTCCTTGAAGCTATATTCCTACATCAACCAACTGCTGTTGCACCGCACTGCACTGTACTGGCAGTGAAGGACAAACGTCGTTTCCGTTTGCCGCGCCTACCGCATTTGCCGCGCGTGCGGGTGCGGGGCCCAAAGTTGCGCTTGCCACATGTGAAGGTGGGCGCAGATGAAGCCAAGACTGTCTTGAAGGCTGGGGAATGTGCGGGTATGGCATGCCACTGACTATGGGATGAATGGTGGAATCGAGTTCCGAGTTGACTCATTTCATTGTTTTGAATCTCTGATCAAAAATATCTACTTTTTCTCAATCCTTTTTGCATGCTATGTCCAGCAGTCCAGTCGTGATGGAAACCAGTTGTGAATAGGCCCAGCTTTGAATGATAAAGCGATGGGACGTGCTGTGTTTGGATGACTTTCCGAGCTAAATGATTGTCGCCCATGAGCAACATAAAGTGGCTGAACTCACTCATGGCCACTCCATACTTTCTCTTGGCAGGCTGTGCCATTGGTGGCAGGGGCAGTCGCAGAGATTCCGGCTGTCAGGGAAGAGTGACTCGGCAAAGGTTGGTCAGTGGTACAGGGAGCCTTCCAGCTTGCGACAATCCAGTTCCCGACATGAAAACCGAACTCTTGATTCCCATTTTGACTTGTCGTGGCTTCCCATTTTGATCATTTTGGTGATTTTCACCATTTGTAGATGATTATAGACTATTTTCCCATTAAGACACCATTTATAGTAGCTAAGGACCATCCTTAACCCCCATTCTCAACCCCGCCAGGCTGGAGCATCGCCTGGGTCATGACCTGGCACCCCATGTGGTGGCGCAGGAGGCGCTGAAGAAACTGAAAGGCGAGGCCTCACGGCTGCGTGACGAGGCCATGGCCACGGCCAAGGAGACTGCCAGGTGCCATGGCTGCCATGGCTGCCATGGGACCATTCTGGGGGTGAAGTTTGGGGATTTTGGGGCAAGTGGGCAACAGAAATTGATATGTTTTGACCATTTTTGATCCATACCCATACAAGACTCATACAAGTACCATCATACCGAATCATACCTTACCAGCCAGGCAGATGCGTGGCTTGGTCGAAGGAGTGGAGAAGGAGGTGAATGAGACGGTGTGCCTCGACATGAAGACAGTCTCCCACGATGTCACAACGGTCGGTGGATTAGTTGATGGCTACTTGGGCATGGGTCAAACTTGGGCGCCAAAAATTGGGAGGACCAGAAATGATCGGACTCTGTGGGCCCCAAACCTTGCATTTTCCCATACGTACATCGCAGTTGCACTGCTACATAGGTTTTCTAGAGACGATGGCAGCAATGAAATAAAGAACGATTCTGAGGATCCATCCATATATACTTACTAGTACATATATATATATAATATATATATTATATAATTATGTATATATATATATTACATATATGTAAATCTAAAGCAAGTGTTTTGTATCTAGTAGAAACTTAGTAGAGGATGACACCAGTGGGGTTCCAACCTTTTCTCGACGCCAGGGTGTTGGCCGAGCATGCGGCAGAAGAGTTGTTGCACCATCCTCATCCACCCCCGAAGAAGACGCGGCCATGGGTGTACTGGGCTTTGGGCCTTGGGGCGCCTTGGCAGACATCAAAAATGCGACCAGAGGGGTGTTACAAAGTGTGCCTGCTCTTTGTAAAAGTTGTACGTAGTGTATATCCAACTTTGAGAAATGGCTTAACACATTTTAACACACCAGCTGCGGAAAACACTACGTCAAAGGCACACGCACAAGTCCAAGGCTTTTCTGATGACTACCCCTAATGTGCTCCATTTTTATTGCATCCCATTAACGTTTATATAACTTGATGATTTCCGCATATTTTCCCATAAAAACCTCCATCTATAGGTGGGGGATGGTGGGGGGGTTTCCCATTGCGTTTGATTGGTGAAGGGTACAAGGTGGGCCCCCATAGATAGCTCGTTGGTTTATAATAGCTATTACAACAAGGGTTTATGGTTGTAGATCAAAAAAACATAACTGCGGGGGCCCTGGGGCCCCCAACAATTGATGGCTAAGAAATTCTTATTGGTGGTTGTTGGTGATTAATAAGTAGGCCATAATTGGAGGGGCCCACCTGGTAAATGTCATTATCCGGTTGTTCTCCCACTATGATTTCATTAGTCTCCCACTATCAACCCCATAAAAGCCATTATAAGTGATACCATGCACTATAACTTTCACCCTTCAGGGGGCCCCAGGTACTGCTCTGCGGCTACGGCTACCGCCGCAGCCGCCGTCGCCCTCGAGCCCTCACTGGGACGCGCGGCGCGCGCGGGGGGGTGGCCACCCCACCGCGCAGTGGGAGCGCATCGGTGGCGTGGCGATGAACCTATTTTTGCCTGCAGAATGGGGGTTTAACCAACAACAATGGGGTTTAACTTCCAACACAACTAGGGGTTTAACCAACAAGAATGGTAAAGCCGAACAAGACTAGGGTTCTAAGGCAACAAGAATTGGGTGGGACTTTAAGCAACAAAAAGTGCGAGTTTAAGCAACAACAATTTAGAGTTTACGCAGCAAAACTAGGAGTTTAATCGAGAGAAATCGAGATTTGACCAACAACGCTTTCGGAATGTGGAGAATCCTTGAGAATGCAACCAACAAACGTATAAGTCGAGTTGAGCATAGAATCAACATTGGGCACACTCCGGTAATGTATTTGGCAATTGGCCTCTATATATTTGTAGATGACTTTCCCACCAAGTGGAATTTCTTATTGCCATGTTTGTCTAATGGAAGGTAAAACAAAATGGGATGGTTTGTTTAGGGATGGTTTGTCCAGGGATATCCAACATTTGCGGGTTGCGAGTCTGAACTTAGACCCACCCCTAGCCATTGTTTTTGTTTGCAATGCATGATATCCGCTGCAAGCATCCGCAACAAACAATCATAGTCAGTCATATTACATTCACGCATTTTGTGTAAAAAGTAAAAAGGTGCTCAACCAACAAATACCACCGGGTTTCCTTTTTACATTCGCAGCATCTAGCAGCTTTAAGATTTCCTCCAGCCAAAGATCCTAAGCCCATGTGAATCCGCCACTAAGGTCTTGCCTCTGGCCCCCCGCGAGGCAGTGATGCAGAGGTGGACTGCCGGATAGGCATTTTTTTGTACTAAACATCCTGTGTTTGGGTACTCCATGGTACGCCGAAATCCCAATCCATATTTCATAGTCATCCAATTTTGATCAACTTTCCTTTGAAACTTCTAGAGTCTAGAGGGTTCACAAACCTTGACCTGCAATTCGAATCAATTCGACCTGTCAACCGACTTTTCTCCCAGGGCGCCGTCATTCTCAAGCCTGACGCCTGTAAAGGTCAACAAAGTTGAGTCCCTTCCTTAGGCACTGGGACGCTGGAGACAGCTTTGGTTTCCACATTTGAAACATGTGGTTGCAACTTCCAACCACTGCTACCTGGTGAATAAAAGACATGAGATAACACCTGAAGCAGAGCTCACACGGATTCGAACTATCCAACTATGAGTGATCATCCCAGAGAACTTCAAATTTTAATCCTTTAGTATACATTCTCCATTCTGGCATCATCATTTCACCTGTACAATTCAGGCATACAATCAACTGGGGAGAGGGGCCTTCCACAACTGGCTCCAGCCCAGGTTTCAACGTGTGGAGGTGACTGCGCCGGAATGGGACTCTCCATCGGAGTGTGAGAAGGAGTCCACGGCCGAGGGGTCGGGAGAGGCGCGGAGGTGAGTTCGCCGAGCTGTTTTTGGGTGGATACCTACATATTTTATCATATTTTATCATATTTTGATGACCGCGCTTGACATTGACTATATATGACTACATTGTGTTTTACTTTTCTAGTCGGCCCAATGGGGAAGCAGAAGTCCGCTGGACGCCAGGCCCCGGCAGTTCGCCCTGAAGGTGGATTAAACATGGGCAAACCCAACACCACGGAGTACTACAAAATCAGCAGCCGCCAGGCCAGGACGTGGTGGCAGCTGGCCATGTCTTGTCGGAGCAAATTCTCGAGTTTCCGAGTTGGAGATCAAGGGAATCAAGGGTCAAAGCGAGTGTTTTTATGTGTCGAAGTCATGGGCCATGGGTCTTCCAAGAAATGATGGCACAATGTGGCACATACATCCACATAAATCCCCAGGAAGGATCTTAGGAGCAACACCGATCTTCTGAGGAAAGCGTGGACTATTGCATCACTTTCCACTGCACTGCACATGCCTTGCGATCAGGACACGCCTTCGTTGACCTCACCACGCGACCCGAGGAATGATCGTGCTTATGGCGCATAGGCGTATGCTTTCAGATGCTTGGAAATGTTGGAGCTGTTGGAGCTGTTGGAGCTGTTGGCACCGAATTGGTCATGGGAAGCAGGTCATATATGCTCAGATCATTTCCATTCATTTCCCTAGATGGTCTCAGATACCACTAGCGACATGTTGTGGTGACAGAACTATCCAGAAGTGAGGAAAGGGGTCATGGGGAGGCAGTTCAGTTGTAAGTGTAGGTTGCTGGCCATGTGCAGTACAATTAGCAGCATGTGCCATCCCTGTTGGCATAGGCTGAGATTATGAGGAAATGACGTTCACGGCATTTCCAACCAGGGCACATACAGAACCCTTTGTGTGTATGTGTGTATGTGTGTGTGTGTAACATCTGAATAGATGTAAAACTTCTTCTCTCTCTTTTTCTTTCTTTGTCCTCTCCCTTTCTAATTCTAAATTAAATTTAATGCAGGGGGCCACCGGGGTCCCAGGGGGGTCGGTGGCCACCGAAGACGCCCCCCCGGGACCCGTGTAAACGTACCTGCATTATTCATAGGATGCATCGTTAATTTCATTGTTTCGTATCTAATCTGCATGTTTCAGGATTCAGTTCCTGACGGATCATATAATGATCCATTCTTGTCTAGTGTGATTTCCATGGTGGCTCCGACATGGTGCCATGGAGCCATTTGAGGCAACCCTTTTCAGGGTGAGTGTTGACAGTCTTGAATTCTGAATTCACACATTTTAATTTGGTAATTCATCTAAGTAAGTCGCAACAGCTGGCCTTACCGTTTTGCACTTTTGACGTAGTCCTGCGGCTCCTGTGGTCCCAGGGATTCCTCGCCACACTGCCTGTCTACCAGAGCGAAGCCGTTCGGAACATTCAGAAACCTCCGTTTTTGCAGCAACTTTTGCAGCGTCATATTGCATTATTTCACGACTTATGATCAGGCAGGCACACGACTTTCAGGTGTGGTATTCCTTCCTTTTGGTTCTCTGGTGAGGTGAAACATATTGTGCATCTAATTCGTTGGAACTTGAAAGCTGTTTTATGCCATTGCGGCATGACTTGACCACGGTCCCGGTGCAGGGAATAATCGCACGACTCTTGGAATCTAGGGACTGCATCCTGTGGTTTAATTAATTGTTTTGGTTTCCTTACCTGTCATTAACTAGTCCCCCATTTGGTCCCTAATTTTCCCCGCGTGCCTCTCCGTAATGTGTCGTGGGGTTTAGGTGTGTGCGCTGTTTTTGTCAGGTCCGTTTCGCCGTGTAGGTTGGTTCTGGAGGTCCGTCTGTTCCCCTCCCCCCTGCGCTGTTTTTGGCCGTTTGCCCTTCGTGTGTCCGCTTTTTTTCTTCCTCTTGCCTTTCAGGGTTGACCCGGCTCCGGCCGGGTGTGTGTGTGTAACATCTGAATAGATGTAAAACTTCTTCTCTCTCTTTTCCTTTCTTTGTCCTCTCCCTTTCTAATTCTAAATTAAATTTAATGCAGGGGGCCACCGGGGTCCCGGGGGGGTCGGTGGCCACCGAAGACGCCCCCCCGGGACCCGTGTAAACGTACCTGCATTATTCATAGGATGCATCGTTAATTTCATTGTTTCGTATCTAATCTGCATGTTTCAGGATTCAGTTCCTGACGGATCATATAATGATCCATTCTTGTCTAGTGTGTGTATCAGCAGTGTGTATGTGTGTGTGTGTCTGTGGGTCAAACGCGGGACTTCTGCCCGAAAGTTAGATGGTTTAAGAACAGATTTGGATGGTGATGCGTCAAAAAATGAGAACCACTCAGAAGTCACAGATTCCGGTCATTCTCATTGCCAAGGACACTAGGAATGGCCACAGCAAGGGACCATCAATCTCCATCGGGCAGCCGCTTCTTTTAGAAGGTCATTGCTCTGGGGGCTCCCTAAGATCCCTGGGCACAGTGGGATGGGCTTGGGCAACGTACTAATGTCGCCTATTCTCTTGATTTTGAGGTCTCAATGGTCTCAACCCATAGTACCAGGAGTTTGAACCATGGGACTAGCTGTGACAGCAGGTTTTGATATGGAGCCCACTTCCATGTGACTTTCCTGGATCATCTCCCGACGCAGGAGGCCCGGTTGCCACGTTGTGGCAGGAGGTGGCCGTGAAGGCTCCTAGAAGTCACCCAAGTAGCACAGTCGTTGCCAGTTTGGCAGTTACCGTAGAAGCCAAACACAGACGTTTTTGGCAGCTAAAAGATTTGAAGACTGGCGATGTTTTTCTATTTAATTTTATTATATGTAAGCTCTGTGGGGCAAGATTGAGCTGCCAGATGTTTGTGAAGGCTTCAGGTAACAGACCCGCCCTGGCAAAATGTATATGTTGAATGCTTTCAGCAGACCCCTGAGTCTCATTACAGATTATCACAGCCATGTTCATGTCTTAAGTATTTTCAAGTTGTATGCCATTGTATGCAAGCTATAAAGTTTTATCTACATATACGTGTACACGTGTGTATATATATAATTAATCATAATCATCCATATCCAAGAAGTCTGAGAGCAGTTGAATTCGTCACAGATGGATTCTGCGCGTTTCATGTGGGAAACCTCCCACATCCAGTTGCGTGTTTCCAGCCTCACACCGCAGCACCCAGCGGTGGCCCAATGGGAAGCGAATCGCAGCCCAAGTGCAGCGACCCCAATCGCTTTCCAAAGATGGCAGCTTTCCTTTTGCAGTTCGCAAGAAGCTCCGTGCCGGATGAGTGACTTCTCAGGTTGACCTTTTGTTGCTTCTAATGGAGACATAGTGGCCTCCATGGACCTTTGCTGATCAAGCTGGAAGAGTGTGGCAAATGGAGAATTGCGATCCAGAGCGGGGAAAGTGCATGGGATGCTGTGTAGTTTCTCTTTGAACAAGCATCCACATGGTGCCTGGAGTTTGCTGCTGAAGCTCTTATCTTTCCCTACTGAAACCGCGATTGTTCGATTTTTTTGGTGGTTTCATTCAGAATTTGATGTTTTATTGGTTTCTTATTTATGCGGCTCCTCATCATCTTGTGGCGGCATGTCTCTCAATCGAACAGCTTTTGAAGATCTGTGGCGACAGTGACCATGCTGATCCACGCCCCGAAACAGTAGGTCAACCGAGGATCGATGACTTGGCGGAAATCCTATTCTTGTCCTCGTAGCTATTGAACAAAATTTGTCACCAATAGAAATGGATCCAACTCACCCAAATGACAACAGATGGACAAGGGAGTCAAGGGAGAGCAAGTTTTTTTCAGATCTATAACAAGATTTGCTTCAACGTTTTCTACTGAGTCATCGATGGATCGAACAGCCGTCCGCCCTCGGGAGCAGTGCGCCTCAAGAGCGCTCTTTTCCGAAGAGAAGTAAACGAATTGCCTAGCTGTTTCTGGCAAGAAAATCGCTGCGCCGCTTGCTCCTTGTATGTGAATATATTGCTTTGTCTGAAACCTGGTTACCCCAAAATCTACTGCTTAATCACCATTTTCCCTCTTAAAATGGTCATTTGGAGGTATATCATGGTACTCGTATACCTTTTCAGACAAACCCATACATAGATGTCTCAGTCTTTGGGTGTCCAACAGTGTTTTGGCCAAGCAGTAACGAATTTCTTCTGTGAGATGGCTGCAGTGAGTTTCTGTCCCAAGCCGCCAAAATTCAATACTCTTTGCAGTCATCAAACATGGCTTCCTGGAAAGTGGATAAAGTGGGAATTTAGTTCGATGATTTTCCCAATCAGAAACATATGAAACATCCAATTTGTGGGAGATTTTGATAGATTTTGCCTTATCAATTTTTACCATATCTTCACCTCTGCTTAGTTCAAGGATTTCCCAGTGCCTCTGGTACCAGGAGCATCCTGGAGGTGCAGCGGTCTTGCTGCGTCACGCTGGGCAGGTCCGATTCGCCGATCGGATCCGAGCGGGGTATAACCATGGTACAACTTGGTACAACCATGGTATAACCTGATGTCTTGCATGGGATTAAAACCCCATAAGTTGGGATATAGTCGCACCCCCAAGTCTGACGCCAAGAGGTAATTTGTGATCCCAGTCATGAGAGGTAGTCAGGCAGTCATGTAGGGTGAGCAAACCGTTTCCTTCTAGCTGATGTAGGTGAAATTGTGACCTGTATCCCGAAAAGGAAAGAGACTGGCAGTAACGCGCATTTGTGATGCGGAAGATGTTTGAACATCCCATCCATCCATCCATCCATCCATCCATCCATCCATCCAGCGATCTAGCGATCTAGCGATCTAGCGATCTAGCCGTCTAGCCGTCTAGCGCTCTAGCCGTCTAGCGCTCTAGCCGTCTAGCGCTCTAGCTGTCTAGTGCTCTAGCTCTCTAGCTATCTAGCCATCTAGCCATCTAGCTCTCTAACTCTCTAGCTCTCTGGCTCTCTGGCTCTCTGGCTCTCTGGCTCTCTGGCTATCTCGCTATCTCGCTATCTCGCTATCTAGCTAGATATCTAGATATCTAGATATCTATATATCTAGATATCTAGATATCTAGATATCTATCTCATCTCATCTCATCTCATCTCATCTCATCTCATCTCATCTCATCTCATCTCATCTCATCTCATCTCATCTCATCTCATCTCATCTATCAATCTATCAATCTATGTATCAATCTATCAATCTATCAGTCTATCAGTCTATCAATCTATCAATCTGTCAATCTATCAAGCTATCAAGCTACTAATCTATCAATGAATCTATGAATCTATGAATCTATGAATCAATCAATCAACCAACCAATCAATCAATCAATCTGTCTGTCTGTCTATCTATCTATCTATCTCTATCTATTTCTCATCTATCTCTATCTCTACGTATCTCTATCTCTATCTATCTATCTGTCAATCTATCAATCTATCTTCCTATCCATCGTCCTATGTATCGTCCTATCCATCGTCCTATCTATTGTCCTACCTATCCTACTATCTATCCTTTTATCTGTCCTGCTATCTATCCTGCTATCTTTTCTGCTATCTATCCTACTACCAGTATCTATCCTACTATCTATCCTATCCTATCGATCTATCTATCCATCCATCCATTTTATCCATCCCATCCATCCTATTTTTTAAAAATCTATTCCTTCCTATCCATTTATTTTATTATTTTTCCTATCTAGTCCTATTCTTATCTATTCCTATCTATTCCAACCTATTTCTATCTATTTCTATCGATTCCTAGCTATTCCAACCTATTCCAACCCATTTCTACCTATTCCTATCTATTCTAATCGATCTAATCGTTCTAATCAATCTGATCGATCTGATCGATCAGATCTATCTGATCTATCGGATGTATCTGATTTATCTATATGTATGAATACACATAACTAATGCACAAATTGTACTACATATAATTGAGATGGACATGTTCACATCATTTCTTATCCTGCAATCCTGCGCTGTTGATGGGTGAAAGCAGGACGCCACTGAAGCCTTCCTCTCCGTGGGCCATTCGCAGGAGTGGTTAGTGTGATTTACTCCTTTACAAAGTGGGTGGTTCAATGGATTGTCCATTGCCATTTTCATTTACCGCAGAGTGTGGCCTCCCCCACTTTGACACACTAACCATTGTGAGGGGATGACAAAACATTGGTGGAGGAGGCGTATAAGAGAGGCTGGAGAATGATCAAAGCATGTGATATATTGGTGGTTTCAAATACAGCATGGGAGTCAGAGCAGCTTGCTGCTTCCCACAGCCACTAATTAATGGACTTCATGTTTCGATGCAATGACTACATCCATTAATTGATGGGTGTTACTTTTCCCCATATTTTTCGATATATTCCCTATGCGAGATGATCAGGTTGAAACCACAAAGAACATTGAGAACATGACAACCTCCTCAATCAACTTTTGGGAGGAGGCTTGGGCCCTGCTATCGCGCTTTCCCGTTGTGACTGGAGGTGGGACATGGTGGGACTCGGGGCTGCAAGCAACAAAAGATGGGGTTGTGGATGTTTCCTCTTCCATCCAATTTGGAGGTGTCCGAATATGGCGGTACCTCAAAACCATGGTTCTTCAATACTAATTCATGGCAATTCATGGCAATTCATGGTCATATTGATGAGGACTGGATGTGGGGTACTATGACTTAGGATCCCCCCAACTGGTCATTTGCATAGGGAAAATGATGACCCCACAGGATGATGTCAGCCGAGGCTTGGTGGCAAGACGGCCCATGGAGTGCCCGTTGTGTCTATCGTCACTGGGATGGAGAAAGACCCCACAATGGTACAGTACTACCGTCTGGTCAGCTAACATAGCTATGGAAGATGGCATTTATAGTGGATTTACCCATCAGAATTGCTATTTTCCATAGCTGGTACAGTAGTTGTGATTGGGATTATAATCCATCCAATTGGGATTATTGGTTTTACTATGTTTTACTGTATAATCCACCCAATCTAATTGGATCAAAACCAATACTTGGGATTAATTAGAACTCCACGGAATTCTCTGGCATATCCCGAGTCGTGGATGGCTACCGGCTCATCAATGGCTGCATTATGCAGGATTCTGAGACAAACCAACCAACCCACCGCAGGAACATAGCATCCGAATAACTACTTGGAGAACTCTCCAATTCAGCTGGCTTATCCGCATGGTTTGCAAGTCCGGGTTATTTCATTAGTGAACATGGTAACAACATTGTAACAACAATAGTGGAACAATAATTAACAATAATTAACAATAATTAACACTAATTAACACTAATTAACAACAATTAACACTAATTAACAATAATTAACAAGGAACATGGTAATAACAACAAGCAGTTCCTCACTCTTTCCGTGCCAGGTACTCGACAGTGGAACCGCCTGGAACCCAAGACCTGGCCCTCCAAGTCTTGCACTTGGCAGTCCGATCCTTGGAGCTCGTGGCTACGGACAGTATGAAGCTCTAAAGAAACTTCACTATCTTCACTTACATCAGATTACATCAGAATCATCAGATTACAAAATGGTTTATCATGGTTTATCATGGCTTATCCATGTCTATTCTAGATTATTATGATTATTCTGAATTCTAATCTATTTCATCTGTATCATCGTATGCATAGGCTTTTGCATGGCTTCCACGTTGATTTGGCTGTCCATCGAGCGCTGGTGAGGCCGCATGTTTGTTGACCTTCCTCCCACGCTTCATGGTAGGTGCAGTGGCTATGGGGTCTTCAGAAGGGGTGAGTATACCAGTGATCTTGTGAGCCAGGAAACAAATCCAATCAGCAAGTGAAGTGCTATTTTTTGCTGACGGCTGGTTTACCGTACGTGCGTTTTTGTGTTTTTTTTGGCCGATGGGGTGGGGTGGGTTGGGGTGGGGTGGGTTGGGGTGGGGTGGGGTGGGCTAATAACGTTCAATGGCACTAGCACACATATTTGATGCTACGCTAGCGACCTCGTCTCTTGCACTTGCACACATACCTGATGCTACGCTACCGACCTCGTCTCGTGCACTTGCACACATACCTGATGCTACCCCACCGACCTCGACTCTTGCACTTGCACACATACCTGATGCTACGCTACCGACCTCGTCTCTTGCACTTGCACACATACCTGATGCTACGCTACCGACCTCGTCTCTTGCACTTGCACACATACCTGATGCTACGCTACAGATGGGTTGGGGTGGGGTGGGGTGGGCTAATAACGTTCAATGGCACTAGCACACATACGTGATGCTACGCTACCGGTCTCTTCTCTTGCACTTGCACACATACGTGATGCTACGCTACCGACCTCATCTCTTGCACTTGCACACATACCTGATGCTACGCTACCGACCTCGTCTCTTGCACTTGCACACATACCTGATGCTATGCTACCGACCTCGTCTCTTGCACTTGCACACATACCTGATGCTACGCTACCGACCTCGTCTCTTGCACTTGCACACCTGATGCTACGCTACAGATGGGTTGGGGTGGGGTGGGGTGGGGTGGGCTAATAACGTTCAATGGCACACATACGTGATGCTACGCTACCAGTCTCTTCTCTTGCACTTGCACACATAGCTGATGCTACGCTACCGACCTCATCTCTTGCACTTGCACACATTCGTGATCTTCGCTACCCGTCTCTTCTCTTGCACTTCCACACATAGCTGCGCCAGAAAAAAACCGAAAAGTCCGTTTTTTTTGTTCTCTCCCTGTGGCGAAACGCAAATCCATCAAAAAACAAAGCATCCTGAAACAGCCTCTTTCTACTCCTGGCGTTTACAAAAGCGTGCAAATACAAGTGAAAAATGATGAAAAAATAAAACACAATGGAATTAGCCACATTTTCTGACCAATCATGATGATGATTGCTTCAAAAATCCTGCAAATACCAAGAGATAAACATGAAGGTCATCATAAAGACTCTTCAGAAAATGCCAAAACACACGCGCGGTAAACCAGGCGCCGGGTATTTTTTGTATGTGAGCCTCTCACTACCTTCAAGCAACGGCGTTTTGCGCCCCACGAGCTTCCTGCCAGATGATAGCGCCGCACCCATGCAAGCACTGGACCTGAGAGGCGGCGAGTTGATCAGCTTGCAACTCAAAATGGAATGAATAATGGGGTTGTCTCAAAATTGGGACCCTGATCCTATGGTTTCATGGTTGAAGGGAAACGATTTCCATTTTTGAATGGCCAGAAATTGAGATACCAAAACCTAACTCATCAGCCCTCTGACCCTGTCTCCTGCGCAGGGAGCGCTGTCCCTTCTGCTCTGGGGCTGGCGGTGATGGGCCTGGCTGTTGGAGCCCTGGAGGTGGAGGAGCTGCAGCCATGCTGTAGCAGGTGGATGGGAAGTCACTCTAATGGGATCTCGATTCAGCTCATTCCCAGGCGCAGCTGCTGCTTTTCTCGCCTCCTTGGCAGGCTCAAGAGATGGAGATGAGACTGAGATGAGATATTTGATGGGGCCAAACCCTTAAAGGGCGTACGGGACAAAACATGTTTGAGTTGGGGCTTCTAAATTTTTGAGCCGAGGCATCCGCAGGCAACACTAGCAGGCAGGGTCTCTAAACTGCGGCTGGTGCCAGGTTCCATCTGTTCGACAAGGTCTCCAAGGTGCCAGAAGGGGCCACTGGGGGCATGTGTACCACGGACATGCGTAGGGGATCCCCGCAAAAGGGTGATGAACGACAATTTGCGTATACCGTATAGTCAAGATGTAAGATGTAAGTCAAGATACTGTCACTCAAAGATTATGCTAAGTCTCAGACTCAAACCATGTGAACTGTTTGCTGCTTATTTTGGGCCGTCACAATTTTGGTTTGTTTTGTCGCCATTGAGTTCATCCCCATCCCAAAGCTTCAAAGCTTCAAAGCAGAAGGTGTTTCGATTCTTATCTTGGCGCTTTCCTCGCTGCTGCCCTTGCGTGTGTGGGGCCTTGACGTCACACGGACGGACTGCCATCCAGGAAACTATTCTGGCCCAACGCTGTTCGTGCATGATTTTACTTCGTAGGATTTTATTGGCACTTGACAGTTCTAGTTCACCATTAAAATTGAGAGAAAGACAACTCATCAATCCGTGGCTGTTTCCAGCACCATGGATATCCACCCAAACTTGCAGCTCACGAGGTTCTGTCATTGGCCGCTGCATTTGCTTCTGGCATTCTCAACTACCAGGCGTGGCAGGGAGTGACACAGACGGCTCCATGAGTTCACACGAAAAACTCCAAGGAGCGGTTGAAGACTCTCTTTCACCCAGATGCCCGCTTTACGAATGTATCGAATGTGTACAGTTGCTGAGGCCTCAGGCTGCCTGCGGCAGGTCCTGTCCTGGACCTTCCTGCTGCTGCAGGCGGCATCGGCCATGGCTAAGCCATGTTAAAAATTGTTAAAATAGATTTGCTGCTCAAAATGGCTTTGTCTCAAAATGATGCTCCAAAATGGATGGTGCAACAATAAACATGACCAACATTGACCAACCCAAGTTTTGTCTCAGAACGCGGAGCCCATTTGTAGCGAATGTGATAGAAATCATGGGATGGAATGGGGCAACCCAAATTTTGAGGCAACCACGATTCGGGGGCTATCGCAAAGGACCTGCAGATTTTGATTCTTGTTAGCTATTTGAAGATATTTTAAGTATCCAACATGGTTGAAGCATTAGATTTTGCGAAACTGCTGCTACACGGTTTTGCGATGTTTTGCGTATGAAGTTGGGAGTCCAAAAATATGGGATGACGAATGATTTTTCAGATTCCAATGTTTGAGAAACGCGGCAACCTGCGCGGTGGAGGTGGATTTTAACACTTTCAAACCAAGATATGTATAGATATGTGATTTCCCTGCTCAATAGAACAACCTTTGGGAAAATGGAGGTAAACGGCACTGAACCAACCCAAAAATCAGTTTTCCATTCAAGATGGCACAAGGACATTATTGAACCTTCACCCCGTCTTTGTGCTTTCCCTCGCCGGGCAAGGCTGGACCCGTGGCCTCGACAGCAGGTTGTTCCGAGACGGCAGGCTGCTTTGGGGTTGCGGGGATGACGTGGCCAGCATCACTGCTGGAACACAGCACTTGCCAATCAGAAAATGCTTGGTGATTGGTGGTGATCTTTCCATTTGTTGGCGTTTTGTTGAAAATCCGGCATCACACCCCTGAGGCAAGTAGGCCCGTGTCAAATTGCTATTTTCCCATTGAAATTCCAGGCTTTGCCACAATTTTTGGACCACATTGGACCACCCCATTCTTGCCCCTAACAGGTTTACTGGTAAGCCTTCAGCGCATCGGACTGGGAGGCCGCGGTATCTGCTGTACTTAGGTTTTTCCAAAAATGGGGGATATCCCCAAAATGGCAATGATATATTATGATATTTTATGATGATAAACTCTCAACTTTTGGGGTACATTTTCAGACCATGTCGAGGACTTGTTCTTAGAAGTGTCTGAGGAGACACCGTCGGGCGCCATGCACCGCCAGGTCTTGGCGCTGGTGCTCTTCTTGGCTTATGGGAACGCCAGCAAGGAGGGGACCCTGAGGGAATGATGTATTTTCCAAACGACAGGCAGATGTGGAGCTGTTGGGATTTCGACTTTAGAGTGCATTGTTGAAGTGATGCATGCTTTAGAAAGGCTGAGAGATCGATACATCCTGCTCTGAATTTCAACAAGCCACATGCTTCGCAGCATGTTTCAGCTTCCACCGTTGTCAACCTGCAGGCCTGAAGTTTGCCGATGCTGTTGCGGCCTGGTCCAAAGTGCTTTTCAGCAGAGTAGGTGGGCACATCTCATTGTTTTGACTCGACGTTACGACATGGTCATTCTGCGTCAGCATGGTTTGGAAGCGAATAGCACAAGATGGAGAAACGTGCTCAACGTTGCTCAACCAGTCTTTGGCTGTTTCGATTTCTCGTTTTCTTGCAAAGAATCGATTTGGGCCAAGATGACTTCAAAAGTTTATTACCACCAATTCAACCAATTCCTACTGATGTCGCTTTGTCTCCCTTTCGTCCATTCCTCGTCTCCTTAAGGCGGCCCTGGTAGCCTTGCGAGTTGCTGGGATCCTATCGCCCGGGAGCCTGGTGCAGATCTTGGGTCTGAAAATACGGTAAATCCACTGGTTAATCATGGTTAACCCATGGTTAATCATCATGAACCATGGTTAATCATCATGAACCATGGTTAATCATCATGAACCATGGTTAATCATCATGAACCATGGTTAATCATCATGAACCATGGTTAATCATCATGAACCATGGTTAATCATCATGAACCATGGTTAATCATCATGAACCATGGTTAATCATCATGAACCATGGTTAATCATCATGAACCATGGTTAATCATCATGAACCATAATCATCATGAACCATGGTTAATCATCATGAACCATGGTTAATCATCATGAACCATGGTTAATCATCATGAACCATGGTTAATCATCATGAACCATGGTTAATCATCATGAACCATGGTTAATCATCATGAACCATGGTTAATCATCATCATCATGAACCATGGTTAATCATCATGAACATCATGGTTAATCATCATGAACCATGGTTAATCATCATGAACCATGGTTAATCATCATGAACCATGGTTAATCATCATGGAACCATGGTTAATCATCATTAACCATATTAAATACCTATTTGCTAGCTATGTTAATTACCATGTTAATATCTATTAGATACTATTTATTAAATGGCAATTTGTTGGGGCTGGGGTAGGCCCACTGTGAACAGGCCATATTCATCCATATTCGGGGTACCCCATTTTGAGACACACCCAGATATCTGGATATCAGCTACACAAGAATCATTTTTTTGATGGTGAATGCATCGGGTATCCATTGTGTGGCAGAAAAAATGGTACTTGCTTTTCCTGAGGTTGATTAGTTGGCTGCTGCTCCTGTTGATGGGGCAGGTGTGCAGGGGGGCAGCAAATCCAAAGTTGCAGTGGATCATGGCATCCTTTCCCTATGGCCCTATGGGTGTTGAATGTGTTGATTTTGAACACCCTCAAGCTGTGGATCATGCTTTGGATGAACATCCAGCCGTTCGCCAGGACTTTGATCCGTACTTGTCAAGGGACAAGGGACACAGCTCCTTTTGATGCTCCAAAATCCTGCTGCTCCTTAAATCCTTAGAGTCTTGGACAACACTACTTGTATGTCTCCACATTGCTTGTGACATTGACCACTATAAGACCATATGCCATTTGTTGGTGAAGGTTTAGTCATGGTGCAGTGTATCCTTGGGAACTGAGAACTGCAGGTGCAGATTGAGGTGGTTGCAGCAGGGGAGCCAAGTCAACTGGTGGTAAGGGATTTTTCCTCGGAAACGATCAGACCAGTGGAGTTTGGTATGTACTTCATTGTCAATTTATTATACTTTACTGTCTGATGCGGTCTGATGCGAAGAGGGCCATTCTTATGAGGCTCTCATTCACCTCCGTGTGAAGCTGCTGGCAATTGATGGATCCTGCGCATCCAGGAATCTCTGTAGCCAATATGGCAAGATGGGACATTCAGTAAATCCATGACACCGAGTTGAGTTTTGTACCTTTTTTTTTGAAGTTGTTACAACCCATCGCTTTTTGGGATCACAGGCCATACGCTGCGGTGGTACTGGTTTACTACTGGCCTTGGTCAAGGCCCGCTTTTGCCTGCGATGCAGTCTTAGTTATGCATGCTATGCAAGACGTGTTTGCGGGGCAGTCATCTGTGATGTTTCGGGGATGTTCGCAGCCATTTCAGCCGCGTGGCCTGGAGATGAGCCGAATCAGTAAGCTTTCCACCAGGACTTACCTTCGTCATCCTTCGTCACTATTGCAGGTGCTGATGTAGAGCTACAAAGAATCGCTAGGAGAAGAATTTCAGGTAAAGGGCAATGCTGATGTGGCCACAATGCTGCCTCATACCTACGTAGTTGGAGCTTTAGGTTTGACACGTTTGAAGTGGCTCGAATGTTCAACACAGCATGGACCCAGGGGATTATTGCCGGTCTCCAAATTAATCAAATAAATTGGCGGCTTCTACGCATGAAGGTATCGAAATAAGCATTCTTGTACAATTTTGGTTATATATATATATTATACGTATATAATCATATCAGATAAAGTATATAAATATAATAACATACAATATGACAATATGTATATTTATATATAATATTAACCACAACAAATCGATAGATTGTAGATTATAACAATTATAACATACCACACTATTTTTTGTTGTAGACTTCATGATGTAGTCCCATCCGCTCGCTGTTCGTCACAAAATCTGCCATGACGCGGCACGTGACTCTTCGACAGCTCTCGGGTGAGGTCATCAAGGTCACCTTGGCAGCTTGGCTTTGGATTCCCCGATGCCACATGGTTTATTGATGTTTATTGATGTTTATTGATAGCATTCTGAATGTAAAATCATGTAAATACATGTAAATACATGTAAATACTCAATGGATCTCAATGGTACTTAGTACTTGATTCATTGATTCACTGCTGGGCTACCCTCCAATGAAATCATCAGCCAGGATTTTGATGCAGAGTCGACATCACAAGGGCCATGAATTTGTGCCAAATCTCTGAGATTTCGCTGGCCTTAAGGATGCTGGCAGTACATTGCTGGAGCTCAAACGGCAAGTGGCTCAGGCCGGGTTGCAATGCTGGCCTTGAAGCGGTTTCTGGTTTCACAATGTTTCACACACTTTCCAAAAACTTGTGAACGGGATCCCACATGATCCCAAATGACTGTATGAATTTAACATAAATCACATCATTCTATATCACATTTTTCCTGTGGATCAATTTTTTGGCTTGAAACAAGAGACTGTTTTCCTCCTATTTGGATCCCAAATCAGAACGGGAGGGACGTCCAAATTTTGAGCCCAGGAATTGGACTGTCCCACTTTCCTGATCAGCCTTCTGAGCAACGGAATGAAGCTGCAGACCTCGGAGGCCAGCCGGTGATTGGATCCATTTTGAGAGAATTAATACTCGTACAATATAATATAAGATAAGATGATATAAGACAATATAAAACAATATAAGATAATATAAGAATATGTCAAACACGAATATGGGTACTTGACTTTGACCCATACTCATACGAGCAACTGAAAATGCTATCCATGATTGTCCCAGAATCTGGGATGGACATCCACTTGTAAGAATTCCTTCGTTCGGAAACTATGTGCACTTTCTGGGTGAAGGGACATATCGCACAAAACAATCGTATATACATATGTACGGGGGCAAGAACCTTCAGTCTTGCCATCTAATATACAGGTGAGGTGGGTGGGTGGGGCAATAGCGTCCTGTGCACTGTGTAAGATGAAAGATGTTGAGAGGTTGAAGATGCTGCTACGTTGAGGATAATTCTACGTTGAAGGTGTTGAAGATGTTGCAATTCCACTGGTTTCTACAAACTTAACGTTAGATGACGAACATGACAAAGATAAAGTCTTTTTTTCCACGCCAACAAACTCCAACTATGCTGGCGCCGAAAGGAATGCATTCAATGTATTACCATGTTCCATGAACACCATAAAACACTGTAAACCGCAGTTAAAAATGATATTTGAAGATCTCAGTCCAGCTCCACTTCAATTGCCTTCCAGGGAACCCCCAGCCTTTACCCTACATAGATTTAGATACATATGTCGACATATGTACATAAGTAATCATAAGGACATAAATACATATATACATAAACGGTATACATATTTATACGCATGTACATATGTACATATATACATCTTCACACTTATACATATGTACATATGTACATATATGCTTTCCATACATACATGTATACATATACACATATACAATACATATACATTTACATATGCAAACAAACAAGACTTCCGAGAATTTTTCCTACAATAAATCGAGGAACAGCATCCCATGGATCTGTGGTACCAGGACCTGGCGAAGGTGGAGGATCTGGAGGATCTGACGGTGGTGAGGCCTTATTGCAATGGGGCTGTTGTGACACCAGGGGTGACATGGGATAAGATGAGGATGATGATGATGATGATGATGATGATGATGATGATGATGATGACTGGGAACGCCTTCAGTGCCGTTCCATGGCCATGCTGTGTCAGGTGCAGTCCGAGTGCTGAAAGCTTTGCAGCCTGGGAGCACGATGAGAACCTTTGGCAGGCACATGCAATCTGGATTTGTTTTAGCCGCCAGTGGCTGCGCAGTGGATACGGCCTTTTGCCTCTGATTCATTGGTAGGGGATTCATCACTTTGGACTTTAGACAATTGAAATCCAAGAACCATGGATCAGACTCCATGGCATAGGCTGGCATTCTCGGACTAGCCGTGTGGATGGTGACAACTGAACTTTTCGCACGGTACGAGAAATCTTCTTCTTTGCCACAGCATCTCACCTCATCCAGTTTTTCCCCAATAGCCCAGATAAGGTTGGGTGGAGCTTCTGGTTCCTATGCTTTTTAAAGAGGACTGAATGAAACTGGGTGAAAGTGTCGGAACATTTTGCCAAATATTTCCCCCCATATTCGGATAGTTGATGAAGTTCGTTGGCCCATCCCTGCTTGGCGAGAGGCCGTGGAGGCCCGCGATGTGTCGCGGGTGGACCAGCTCCTCACAACCTTCTCCGGGCCGCGGGCGGAGACAGAGCCAGTGAAGGTGGGGGGCAAAAGGCCCTTGATGTTAGCGTGTCAACAGGGCGCCTTGGTTGAAAGATGTTGATTTATTGTATTTTATTGTATTGTTTCGGTTTCTTGAATTCTGGAAGACATGGATGTTGACAGTTTTTTATTTTTTTTGGTTTCTTGAAAACACGCCATATATTGAAACCACATTCAGACCGTGGCGCAATGGTTTGTTGTTTCTTGAAGGAAATGTGGGGGCCCTTTGATTTTTGGAAGAAAGGTGAAGCTACACAGTCTAATGAACCTCGCAGGTTCATTGCAAAACCAACCGGAGAAGATTTCAACCACCACTGAGCTCTTCCCTTTGGATGGATAGTTTCGGGGTCCAAAATTCTGGCCAAGGCAATTCCGAGGTAGTGGAGCTCCTGCTTCAGGTGCCGGGTTCTTTCAGCGTTGAGATGATTAGCTTGGTGGGTTAAGATAACCAAATTACCAACCAGATTTCTACTAATCTTCCATCAAGACTTCCATCAACTGAGAAATCCCATCGTGTCTTACACGTCTTGTCCCCGGGCTTGCCAGATCATCCAGATTCTAAACTAGCAGCAAGCCACCGGTGCCCTATACGCCACAGGCCAAGGCGGATCCCTATGGGTCAGTTGGGAAGAGTCCCTTGCAGATGGCTGCAGAGCATGGGCACCTTGAGGTTGCGCGGCTGTTGCTGGAGGCCAAGGCAGATCTGAACGACAGCCATGGAGATGGTCGAAGTCCTCTACACATCGCCTGTGAACGTGGCCATGTGAAGGTGAGACATGGTGAGACTCCAGAGGGCTCAGAGGGCCAAGTGTTGGGGTCTGGTTTAGCGAACTGGGACATGTGGTTTCGACAGGCAAAGTGATTGCTGTAGCGGCACTTTAGCGTTCTTCACGGCGCAGGTCTCTTTCCAATCCCTTCTGATCACCTCATCATTGGCAGGATGTTTTCACGTTTTTCCATATTTTTCCTGCGACAGGTGTGTAGTGGGGTGTGGGAACCAGAATATCGAAGCCAATAAGGGACTTGAAGTCCCACCTTCATTCATCAATGATATCAATGTGACCCAACCATCAGGTCATCAGTTTGCAGAGTTTCTTGGGGCTGAATTTCGGCTGAATTGGCTGCAGGTCGTTCGGCTGCTGATTTTGGCCGGGGTCGATCCGAATGGCACGGGGCGTTGCGGTCGCACTCCCTTGCAGTTGGTCTCTCGGTGGTGCAAATGGTCCCATGGAAGAAAAGATCCATCATTTGGGCCAAAGTGTCACAATTTGAAGCGAAATCACTGTAAGTGGAGGCATTTTCAGTTGCGACTTCTTTACTTGTACTAATTTGAGATTGATCAGTGAGCAAATCTGAAAATGTGAATAAGCTGCAATAAGCTATAGATAGAATGATAGAGTTACACATGCTGTATTTCTGAGATGTTCTGAGAGTGACCGCAGTGTGGTCACCTTTCTGTTCGTGGCTTTCTGATTGAAGCACCTACAGGGCTCCTTGGTGGTGCCCTGAGGCTTGCGAACACGGGCACCCCGAGACAGCACAACTGTTGCTGAGGGGAGGTGCCAATATCAACAAGAAGGGTACCTTGGGTGCAGCGCCCATGCAGATTGCCGCAGAGAAGGGGCACTTGGAATTGTCCCTCGGTGAAGGGGATGATGGGGATGATGGGGATGGAGGTGACATGAGAAGAATCTCACGAAATTTGAGCCGATTTGTATATCTGTTATTATATGTTGTATAAGTGTCATACTATTTTCAAAAACTATCTACATCTCTACAGGCATCTATTTATATAGTATAGAATACTCAATGTATGTCAATCTATCTAAGTGCCCATAAAGGACAACCAGGATCCAGCTGTGGTGTCTTGATGGCAGAAGAATATGTTTGGGGCTTGACAAAAATAACGCTCTGCAAAGACTTTGTATCCTGAGATATCCTGAGATATCCTGAGCAATTGGTGCTTGATAGGAATCCCAGCAAAAACGTGAGGCTTGGTGATGGTATGTGTCTGTTGTCCGATCGACAGGATTCGATGTCTCGTGCAAGCACGGCATGCTGACATCAACATCACCAGTCGATTTGGAAGAAGTCCCTTGCAACTAGCCAGTGCAGAAGGACATTTGGATGTCCTGAATTTTCTGTTGGATGCTCGCGCGGCCATCAACTTCAAGCAGTATGGCCGAACGTCTCTGCAGCTGGCGAGTGAACAGGGCCATGCAGAGATTGTTCAACGTCTCCTCGAAGCAGGTGCGAAGATTTAGGGTCATTGGAGGTCCACGGAAACCACAAGGCTTGACAAATTGGAAAGTATAAACATCGTATTACTGTTTATATATATATGATTATATATGATTTATATGCGTTAGACAATGAAAGCCAGTAGGTTTTTTCGGGCCAGGTTTTTGTCAGCACCTTTGGCTGCTGCTTGTTGCTGCAAGGGTTTTTGTTTGTACTGATTTTGCCAACTGGCCTTGGCCTTTTTTCGCCCCTCTTGTAATGCGCGGATTGACTCGCACATATCTGTACAATGTACAGCATTTCCAGTTTGGGCAGTTGATTTGGTCAATCCCATTGAGCATTAACAATTAATCTGATCAATCTCACTTTATTTCATTTTGGCGTCAGCGATGGTCTTCTAGTCTTGAGTCAGGCGCTGATGCTGAAGTGTCAGGAAGTTATGGAAGGACTGGACAGAGTTGATGGGAAAGGGAGAGGTTAAGACGATGGGCACCTTGGACTTTGGGTGCATAATTACGGATTTTGTTGAGGTGTAATATCGGCCGCCAAAATAGGCATACAAATTGCGAACAAATTGTAGTATACATCAATACATACTATATATGTACATAATTATATATTCTGCAAATGACACGGACAAGAACAATTTGTGACCATGGTGATTGAGGGTGTAAGCCACCAGACTGTGGATGCAACCAATTTGGCGGGTGGGAATGGCTCTCTTCAGAATCCTTGAAAGACTTTGTTTTCCCAAGCAGGACACCTTGGCAACTGGCATGTGAGAGGGGTCATTTTCCAGTCGTTCGCGCTTTGTTAAAGACACGGGGCCAAAGATGCGTCCCGAACAATGAGGCGCTGAGAAAAGAGGTCATGCGGAGGGCAAGAATTTGGGCAGCTGAGTCCGAAGATGATGGTTGAACCATGTTGAACCTGCATACTGTAACTTTCCCTTTTAAACCTAAACCACTTTGATCCATTTCCGTAGAAAGTTTGGGGATACCCAGTTTGTTGGACATGTTGATCCATTTTCCAATTGCCATCGCTAGGCAGCACAGTTGATGGAAAGCCCATGGCAACTCAGCGCTGTGTGGGTGGCTGTGGTGCTAGGACCGCTGCATGGTGCCCAATTTATGGACTGGGGATCTATATTATTTATCTGGGACTCAGCAGCAGGTCTGGCTCTCATCCTTTGAAGGCCTCCACAGCCTCATAGCTGGGATCATGGGCATACCATGGGTGCATCTCCATAGGACCTGCTGCGACTTTGCTTGAGCTCCGACAAGGTTCCTCAGCATCAAATCCTGTAGCAAACTGATCCAATGCATGACCAAGTTGTAGACCTCCGGATTGAGTGACTGCGAACCTTCTGTTCAAGGCGCATCATTGAATCTCGAATGCGTACCAGCCAACCAATCTATCCCAGTTGCGCATCACAGGACGTGTATGATTTGGAACTGCTATTCCAAAAAAGAGAGTTGGCAAGTTGGAATGGAATCTGGAGATATCTGGAGATATCTGGAGATATCTGGAGATATCTGGAGATATATAATAGTTGGATCCCAACCATTTCAAACCATCAAACCATCAAACCATCACCACTGAAGGTTTGTGGATGATCCTCCCAGTGTCGGGTGCCCTGGAGATGCTGATGCTTTTCCGCTGTCACACGCTCCGTTGATGTCCGTTGTTTCCTCGGCAAGCTCAGCAACATTACTGTAACCTCGATCTTCATGGTAACAGTTGGGGCAATGGAATGCTTTGGACCAGTGTTTCACATTCATCAAGTTTGGAAACCTATTTGAACCTCTCAGATCGGAACATATGATATATTATATAATATTATATAATAATATGTATCGGCAAAGTGAAAGTTTAGCAGAAGGATGTCAGACACTTTCGTGAAATGCCAATCAACAAACACAATACGTGGATATACGTGGAATCTATATGGACAGATTCATGTCACCAGAATCAAAATGATCTTCGAGGATCCACCAAGTCTTCTGAGGCTTGGTTGGCTGTTGCATTTCCAGGGTCGGGCCGCAGCTTTGGAAAGACAGTCATGGACCCAGAGGTCCGTGCTACATTTCACTGTAGTTTGCTATTGCTGCAAGGTTGGATTGGTAGATGATATGATGATGCTTGGGAAATTGGAGGCAGATCCGAGACAACCACTATACAACCAAGGGTTTTTGGGATCTGACCCATAGTTACTATTAGTTTGTATACTGCCAGCGCCAAGATCTCTTTAGCCCTTCCTTCCTTTGCCACTGGCTCTGCGGATTTCCGCCCTTGAGGTCGTGTCCCACGGAGAACAGTGCAAGGCAGAAAGCTGAGCGCTTGTTGAGTGTGGCCACACTTGGAACGCCAAAATCACCCAAGTTCAATAAACATAGCTATGGAAAAATAAACATGTTTTTGAATGGATCATCTATAAATGGACCATTCATTTTCCATCGCTATGTTACTATATTAGGGATTACTGTAACTTGATTGAAGATGATTCAACAGAATTCAACATGGTTATATAAACTTCATCTTTGATCCACAAGCTCTGCTGGAGGATACAGTTCCTATTGGACAATGCTCGGTCAATGCTGGCGCTTGCAGCCACGGGCTCAGTCGCTGCTTGGGTGAAGGTCGGAAAGGACAAAAATCCATCCCGAGAAAATGATGGACGAACTGTAAAGGAAAAGCTATGCACCTTTAATATCCTTTAATCATCTTTAATCGCAAATACAATACAAATTCATCGTCAAAACTTGGCACTTATTTGCGCAGACAACTCAGTTGTATCCTAACTATAGATCACCATCTATTTTACATACTCCATTTTGAAAGCCCATGATTTGCCGCTCATATCATATAGCCAGCTGATATCCCATCTGGCAACGGGGAAAGAGATCCCAGTGTTCTATGTCTGTGGCTGGTGCCGAGGTTTGGAACCTGCTGGGGCAGCCTTTAGCCAGGTGCCACAGCGCCATGTAGCCTCCGGCGGCTCAAACACCCAGCTTTCAACGGTTGCCGCAGGTGTGTGACTTGGCTGCTGCCGGGGAGGCTGCGTGTCTTTGCTTTTGAGGCTGGGGCCTGAGGAAATGCTGATATATAGATATTTACATTTCATTCAGAGATAATATATTCCATTGATATCCCATTTTGTACCATCACATACATATTTATTTGGAGAAAACATGCGTATGTTGTACAATAAGTATTATAAAGGCGACTTAACTCTCTTGTGAGCCATTTACAAAGCGTTGGAGGTGAAGGAATCAACCCGGTGGTTTCAAGCGGTTTCGTAGTTTTTCTCGATCCCTGCTTAGGATGATCCGCGAGTCAAGTAGACTTCCATTTTTGTCGCGGGTGAAACGGTGAAACCACCCACAAGCATGGTTTCTTGCAAGACGTTCAGGATTCACTTGATCCTTCAGACTGACCAAGCTTGGAAAGTAACACACATTTGAACTGTCTTGAAGGAAGTGGGACATTCGAAGTCTATCGATTTTCTATAGGGATGAGATTCTGAGCTGTACACTCAGTGTTGGTCACACCGATTTCATTCAGACGATGGGAAAATTGAGGACAACCTCCGGTGAACTACTGTCTCATAGAGTGTTATATGGTAGCCATGCTCAGTGTTTTCAACGTTCCAACATGTCTTGTTCAGGCCCCAGTGGACGATTTGGATGGCCTCCTCGATCTGGGAGTGATGGCCCAATCTTGGCGCACGGTGGTGGTTTTTCAGCTTGGAGCAAGGGGAAGAATCGGGGCGGACTGCAGGGGTTTTTCACCTTCTGATTTAGCCCTTGGTAATCTTACTTGACTATCCAATATCATCATTTCTTGGAGTACAGTAGTTCATCTGCAAATGGGTGATGTTCCATTGCTATTTTCTTAATTAGCAAAGGGTAAGTGGGTAGCTGGAAATAGTGAAACATGTGAAACGATGTGAAACGAATTAAACCGATGAAACAATCAAGCATGTTGATTCACTCCTCAACTCTGGTGTCTTAAGCCTCCATGGTTGGACAGTGCTGAAGGTTTGCCTCATGTTGGACGGCGTCCACGGAGGCCACAAGATGGCAGGGATCATCCCAATGAAACCAATGTAACCTCCACAATTGAAGACTCAATGAGCTGAAAGACATGATAAACATGATAAACCATTGGTGGCTTACTTACACATTTATAATCATTTATAGACATAATGTTACATAGTTTCCATCCAACACATGGAATGATCCCAATTGACTGATGAATGGTTTCTCAAGGGCGTGAAACCACGACCAACCAGACAAGCGACAAGCATAGGAGACATGAAACATGGGGAGATGAACAGGGTAGTAGCCTTTTGAACCATACCCCACCTAGGATGTGCAGATGGAGAGCAAAAGATGCAAAAGAAACACCAGTTTTTGAGATATCGCACTCCATGAGCAACACTTTCTATTATTGGAACCCTTTGTTGTCCTTTGTGCTTTTGCTTATGTTCCGACTTCCTGATCAAGTTAGCTCCTCTTAGTCTCTCCCGTGTTGAGAAAGCAATTCATTGCTGCATTATTCTATTCCATTTGGATTTTTAGAGGTCAAATCCTGATGTGGGCCTCACTGCATCTTTGGCTCAGCTGAGATAATGCCAAAGCCTTCCTTTCCTCGCCTGCCAGAGCTCACCGAAGAGCAGATGCCCTTGACATGGCCGCCTTGGGGTGACATGATGGACCAACGTAGCGATGATATCAGGGCACTGGTGGCGAAGGAATATTCTCCGGACCCACCGCAGGAAAGGAGTATAAAGGAGGCCCAACTTGTTGCTGGGGGGATGGCCGGACCGATGTAACATGTCTACTTTGGTGAGATCCATGGAGTATAGCAGTATTGAGAGTTGCCGAATATTGGGTTGCTTATGGTTGCTTACAATCAATCAGACCTTCAAAATCCATCAAAATCCTGCAAACCACAGTTTTTTCTTTCCACAGTGAAACATCCGACATTGTTGGGTTCCCCTTTGCTATCAATTTGAACCATCTCCAATTTTGGTCATTTACATTTTGGTTACTGTTGCTTTCATCCCGATTTTGCTCATATCGCAGCTATTTTGGTGTTTGCTCCCTCTTTGAATGATCATATTTATATTAATATAGCTTCTCTTGAGGTGCCCAAGCTCCTTCTGTTGGTGGCCTTTCTGGCTTTGGGTCTGGTGCTTATCTTCTGGCACAGCTCGATGCCAGCTGAGTCCCTCAGCGCTGCTGGTGCCGTGATTAGCGCCAGCACGTCCGGCGCGGAGGACGCTCTGCGGTCCGCTGAGCCGCAGCAGAGGAATGATGGAGTCATCATCTATGCGTACCAACAGCCAGGCTGGATGTCAGATTTCAGGTAAGCAGCGACCAAAACCCCAATGTGTTTGTTTTATCTTGGGCTTAAAGTAAGATGACCTCGCCGAAGTGAAAACCCGCAACCCGGAAGCTCCGTGCAAGCTTTCGCGGAAGGGGTCTGAAAACCAGCGCGGAGCGCTGCGGAACCCGAAGAGCGTTTCTCGCCACATTTCTTATTGCAACGATAGATATGTTTGCAGAAGCGCTGCGGAAGTGAATTGTAGGGCGGGACCGTCCGCGGAAGTGGAAACTGTGGCCGCGGAAGTAGCGAGGAAGCGTTCGCGGAAGACGTATGTTAGTATAAAAATAAAACCCAGGTTTTGGCCACAGCTCAGGTTGATGGCACAAGACTACGTACAAATTACATCAAATTACAAGTGTGTTTAGTTTTACAAAAAAGATGAGCTGCCTTGGAGTGTACACTTTTTCAAAGCTTGGAATGGTATGACAGGGGTGAGAAGGTCTCAAAAGATCAGTTTCAACCCACGTTGCCCTTGCAGGCTGTGTGGGTCCGGTGGCTGAAGTGACCACCAGTGGAGCACCCTGCGAAGCAATCAGGTTGGGCTGATCCGCTTGCCACACCATTCCGCCAGTTTCCAGGTCCAGTTTGAGGTGTAACTCCAAACTACCAGGCATAAATTACATTAATTTACAAGGTGTTCAAACCTTAGTTCCATGGCGTGGGATCCCATTTACCCTCCAGAAAACCAACATAAATAATTATAGACTAGATGATACCGAACAAAAAAATCATTTGCAGATACTGATAGTTTTCCGGGGGAACCATTGGTTTCCATATCTAGGCTTCAGTGCATGTGCAAATCGACCAGTAGATCTTGCCCTCATGGTGACCCCCGGCTCAGTGGTGAACACGCACCTCATCATATTCATGCGATCACCGTCAAAAAGTGTTCAAAAACAACGCAACCTGGGATGTGATCAGCAAGGGTGTATACGCCATGAATTACCACGGATGATGAGTCTGTTTCACTATTCCCGGATACAGTCTGTCTAAATGGGTACAACCACATAGCTCAATCCGCACCGCAAAGCGGTGGTTTCAGGCACGGTGCGGATGTGCTCTATGGAAACTTCACCTGTGCGGCGATGTCTTTGGGTTTGCTCCGCGGATGCTGGGTCGAGGTACATGAGTTTGGCCACAAATGCCGCACACCAAAAAAAACAAAATGATGTCAGGAAATTATGGTAATGCATTGGATTTTGGGGTAATTACCCTTTTTGTGGACAAACCTACATTTTTACGGTATTTCTTCCATTTTTTATGGCAGAACCTTTCATTGAAGTAGCGAGACCGGGGGCACCGGCTACTCAGGATGCCGCGATCCTCATTGCACACATTGCGTGACATACAACTTGCAGCCGAAGGGTAAATGTGGAGGACTGGGGGCTTGCACCTGTGGATGTTAGATGATAGATGTGTGGTGGAGTAGACACCAAAATTTCATACGTCCCCGCTCCCAAGAGGAGTTTCAGTTCGCAGGAGCCTTTGACTTTGTGGGCTCGGCGAAGTTTACCTGCAGGAGCAACGAGCTCCAATCCAAGTGATGGCCAAATGGTGTGAAGCCACGGCCGGGAGAGACATGACGAAGTGATTATTGCAAGGAAGGAAACATTGATCAAACCATGGGGTTTTAATGCTTCAATGGTGGTTTAATGAGTTTAATTGTGTCTTAATGCGTTTTAATGATTTTGAAATATCTTTAATGGGTTTTTAATGGAGATCTATTGGTTTTTTGATGGAACATGTATAGAATGGGACAAACATTAACGAGGATTACTGTAATCAACCACCAGTTCACTAATAGGGGGTACCAATTGCTGTTAAATAGTAATTTCTCACTGTTTTTGGTGTACCCCCGTTTATTCATCTGGGGTTGACATTGTGATTGACAACCCAATACAACCACAGAATATAGCTGGCCTTTTTATACGGGTTTATAATTTATCAATATTTATCATAATCTGCAACTGGGTCACCTATTGGCATTGTCAGCAGCAAGATATCAGGATTATGTCTCTCTGCTTACCATAAACAGATCAACTGTGCAAATTTCCCAACAGATCCCGACGCAAGGTCGGCGAATCCGACCTTAAAAAAATAGCGACGATGGCTGCGGATGGGATGGTGCCATAGAAGAGACCCGTTGAGGGTCCCGCTGCAGATGTGATGTTTGATTTCACCTCTTCCACATCGAAGCTCAAGGAATCTGGATTAATCTTGTATCGGGACCTCAAACGACCAAAAACATGCTGATAACTGGGAATTGCATGTCATTGCTATTTGCAAGCCATCCAAACATGGCCTTAGATCACGTTGCGGTCTTTACTATGATCATGCAGAACACTTACAGTTTCTTGACTTCAGTGCTGGCGCGGGCACAATTCACCCCGAGCCCCAGAGCTGCTTGCAAGCAGACAGAGAATGGCCAGAGGTGGCAGAAGCCGAGCGATGGCTCAATAATGTCTTTGTGAGATCCACTCCAATCCTCCAAGAGGCGAAGTGCAGGGTGGAAAATCTCGCAATTTTAGTTGCATCTTGGAATCCATAGTGGCATGGCATGGTCTGGGGATTCGGTCATATCAGTGCAACTGGTGTTTAGACATTTTGGATGACAATACTGAAGCTGTCGATGTGGCAGCCTTGATGTTCTTCGAGGTCCAAAGTCTCATGTTCCTTTGGTGTTCCAGGTTGCCGTGGTCATTGCTTGAACTCCGGAGCTGGAAAAGACTGCCGCGACGCCACTGCGAAGGGTCAGTCGAGCCCTGTGTAAAGTGGACCTGCGCAGCTGTTTGGCGTGAATGTCATTGTGGTTTGGCATCTCAATTTGGGAACAGCACATCAAGCCGAATCAAAGTTATTTCCCACAGATATGCATCCCGACGAATCCTATTGCAAGGCTTGGTTTAGAGTTTAGAGATGCGATTGATTGATGGGGTCTGACTATGCCTACAGAAACAGAAGGCTTCGGATTGGCTGAAGATGATTGACTCCCCAAATTGGACGGAGTTTGAAAAACTACAGACCGCCCTAATATCAGGCACTCCCATTGTATGGTCCCAAAATGTCCCAAATATGTGGAGTTATCCCCTACATCCAGCATGGAAACTGAGGGGTGGTTCATATGGACGGAGGGACTTTCCACGTGTCCAAGCCTCTGGGTCTTTATGTCCAACCACCGTATCCCCCACAGCTTGCGCAATCTCCTGGACCGTTTGGCAGGTAGTGTGGAACCTTCGCCGGTGCCAGGACATGTAGTGCGGAGCCTCTGCCAGCAATGGACCCACGAAGTTGGTGACGGGTGTGCCGAGGACTTGGGCCTCCAAATGAAGCATACCGCATACCCCAATTATCAAGTTATGGGACGGTGAGGTTTTAGAACGTTTTATATCAGCCAGCCATAGGCCACATGATTTTTGGGTTCAGCAATGATTTTTTTGGGGGGTCCCCCAATGATCGTTTAGATCCAAAATAAGATCGGGCGCTTCAGGTGGATTTTTTTTTGGGGGCCTTCAGGCTTTTTGACAGGTTTCCCACAGGCCAAAACTGTTTCTATTTTTGGGTGGGTTCAATCAGAATAGTGTCTGCAAAGGAAGCAAGTATCCTCACAAAAGCATTGTCCATTGTTTTTTTCTCATGATAGTAGTAATTCTCAACAAAATAAACACGGAGTTTATCACCATCTATTTCAGTGTTTTTTTTTTATATAAATAATATCTTTAAGGGTCACTGTGTAGAACAAACAGACTTAGACTCATATTTCTAGGTTACCTGGACTTGCATCAATCTTCAGGTCTGTAATATTGGACATTTGCCGACTGCGGATGAGGATGATCTGCGCGTGCGAGAGCTCAGGGATGCTTTGATGTGGTGACGACTGGGTTGAAATCGAAGGTTGCTGTTTTACTCTTCTTAATGCATCAACACAATCCATGATAATGTATGATAATGTCATAATTATTGCAATTGAAGTATTCGACATTCATTTAGCTGATTGCCGTATGCCAAGATGTGCTACCATTCGCCAAGATATTTTAAACCTACAATGGCAAAGTCAGCCTTTCGCCGTGGATTTTGAAGAAGCCAGGCCACAGTGCAGTCTTCATTGAAAATAATGGAAGAACTATCAGGACCGATGATTGAAGCCGGATGTGTGCTGGAAGTGGGCTGAGGATTTTCTGGTTCAATCGCAGGGCTGCGTCTTGAATTTCAAAGATATGGTAACAAAAATATATATACTGTATATATATAATTATATATATATTATATAAAACATAAAGCTGCGGGGAGACTTTGGTAGGTCCTACCTGGTAGGTGATCCAGTTTGGCAACATCTTCACCACGTCACCAGCTGCCAGGAGTTTCCAGCCAGATGTCCAAGGAACGACCGCATGGGGGGATGGTTTTGAAGCCAGGAGATGCAAAGTGGAGATTGATGTGTTTTAATTTGTATAAGCATATATATATATATCGCTTACATATTATCGATATACCCAATATATACCCAATATATATATATATAATATTTCTAGAGGCAACATTCCCATATTCAGAAAATCTTCGCATACTATGTTTTCATCGTACTCCAGACCTGGGTTTTGGTATGTTACTTTGATAGGCATTTCAGCTCAATCTGGAGGGAACAGTTGGCCCACGGCGAATCCACTGAATGCCCCTCCACAGCTTTCTATCCCCTATTTCGTTCCAAAGCAGCTGTGGACGTTGAATGAATTGAAGGCTGCTTTGATAAGGAAGTTTCCTCATTTGTCTACCGAAGAAGGACAGGGTTGTCAAAGGTAACGTTTTTAAAGGTTGGCTGAGTAAAAATTAGCAAGTTTCTTCCCCGGGACCTCACCCAAGGTGAACTCGGAAAAATAGAACCCACTGGGCCTGCCCCTGGAAGTTTGGGCTGGCTTTGGGATTGGAATTTTGGTTCTGGCCCCGAAATTTCCCTATGTGGTCTCTATACCAGCCACGCATACTCGGAATTCTTCGCATTCCACAAATTCTTCGCACTCCAGCGAGGGCATCGCACTCCACAGCTAGGGACGTACACATACTGTGAAACCCACGCACTCTGCAAGATCTTCGCACTCCATAAAATCTTCGTACTCGGCGATTTTCTCGTTTTTTCTGTTTTTTTTTTTCGTTTTTTTGTTTTTTCGTTTTTTTTTGCTTAAAATCGCCTGGAATCACGTTTTCTGGAATATGGGCAAGGTAGCGGTTTCGCGTGAGACGTCTGTAGTTTCACATACTATCGCATCCAGGCCATTTTGGCCAAAAATGACCAAAAATAAAAAAAAGAAAAAAAAACTCAGCAGGGTGAAATGTGATAATTTTCTGGTATATGATGGAAAAAACTGGTGTTGGATCCATGGGGAAGGTCGAAGGGGGCCACGCATACTGTTTTATTTTCGCATTCCATAAAATTAGCGCACTCCAGGGGTGGCATCGTACTCTATCGGTGGAATTGTTTTGCACACAAGAAAACAGGATTGTCGATGATTTGTGTTCCCAGATCCTGTTGTGCAGAGCTCTTTGCGGGGCCACAAAGATGTCAAGAAAGATGGGGATGGCGCTGCTGATGAAAGGCCAGCCAAGCGTGCCAGAACATAAGCTTAAAGCTTATGAATTGGGTTTTGAGATCCTGAAAAGTGTAGATGACAAATTCCCATAAGAACATTATTAATCCATTTTTGGAAAGCTCAACATTATTAATTATGACGTTTCCAGAAATTGTTGAAAGTAAGGATCTTCTTTGGGGAGGAACATGTGCAGTCGACAACGTACGTGCCGGAAGAAAAGGAGTGCTTGGCAAACTGTATGAAATACAAATTTCACCTGAAAGGGGTCTTCGCAATTCCCTGAAATTTCCCAGCTATTTTGGCATGGAATATGTTCGGCCCTGGAATATGGGCAAGAAATTGCTAGAATATTTATATATAATATATATATATATATATTATTTTAAATATTATATATATTATATATATATATAATATATAATATATATAAAATATATATATATTATATTATATATATAATATATATATATATTATACATATGTTGCATATCGACGTTCATGCATAAATTTCCCGCCGGGGGAGATATCCGCCCTCGCGAAATCAGTTTTTTCAAGCAAAATATATGTTTCACCTCAGTGCCAAGGTGATCTGTCAATCTGATTTTCATGTGATTTTGGGTGCCCAATTTGAGGTACGTTTTTTTTTTTGCCTTTGAATTTGCAAGTATTTTGCTTTTGGGCAAAAGTCTCATGAGGAACAAGAATGGACACTTCCATCAGCGCGCTCTTTTCTTTCACCTCACAAGTTCGCTGCCTCGTGCACAGCGTGGCCCCGGTCACACTCATTAGATTTTCACCTGTTTGCTCCCATCTCCAAACATATTGTTCTATGCTTTCCATAATCTTGGGAGGATTCCACTTTCTTTGGTCATTTCATCAACAAGTACATCTCATCAACAAGAGCGTGTTGCAAGTTACTTGTGAAAGTTCTAGAGCGTAACATCAAGAGCGTGTTGCAAGTTGCTTGTGAAAGTCAAGAAGAGAGGCCCCCACCCTCACCCCAGATATGCTAAATTCAGAGACATCAAAAAACGTTCAAAACGCTAGCGCAGTTTTCCTTTTGCTGGCACAAATTCGATATCATGTAGCACAGAGCTTCTTTCATCTATTACATAGACATCAATAAACATCCTCAAACCAGTAGACAAAACAGCACTACTTGAACAAGAACAGGGAAGCAACTTCTGTCATTCTTTGGTTCGTTGGACAGGAACCGGCTGAGGGAGCCCCCGGCTTTGCTCCTTGCAACAAAGCATTGGGGGGGTGGGATGAATGTTTGTAGTGTCCTTTTTCCGTTTCCCCTATTTGAAGTTGCTGTTGGACTGCGATGATTGGAATTGAAGAACCTTCTCTTTCTTGTGGCTGGGTTGCAGAAGTCAAGCCAACGTGATTACGGTCCTGAAAACAAACACATCATCCATTCCAGCAATGGGCAAGAAACCTTGAAGAACCACCTGTTTTTTTCATGTTCGGTTTCTCAGGTGGCAAACCTCCTGTGTGTCTTGCCCAAATCGGGAACAAGGCGGGCACAAAATTCGGCAAGTGGTGGATCAGAGATTGGAATTCCAAGTTGTGTATATAGTGCTTTTTGCATTTGAAGCAACTACCAATCGACTTGGAGCAACTTCAGCTGGTGGAGATTGACTTGGATGGAGTGTTAGTGGTCGATTTGGGTGGTTTTGTGGCTGTCTGCAACACGAAAAAACCCAGAACTCTGCTGGAGGAAAATTCAACACCAGCCAGGATTTTCGGGTTTTGCTATGGTATGCTATGGTTTGGTGCATTTTGGCTGCAAGTTACGTCCATTTAGTATCATTGGGTTGGTTAACGGTGAAAGCATGTTGTAGCTGCATTGAGGTGTGGTGATATTCGTTAGAAAAGAATCCCAAGCTGCCAGGGGCAGATGGATTCGACCCAACTGGCAGTCGTTGAGAGAGGTGAACCTATCTGTGGGAAGGCCCAAGAGGAGGCCAACAGGTGGCAGATAAAACCCGTGGAAGATTCGTGTTTTTCCTGCCCCAAACATTTGGGGATTTGACATGGTTTGTCACCTGTGGAATCTGAAAATCTCTACGATTGCCAGCAGCATCTGATTTGGGGTTTCAGTTTTGAGGTTTGGGCCAGCGCCAAAGATGCGCAAAGTTGGTACAGACAGCTGCAAGCTCAGCTATGATCTCCGGCCCGGTTTCAGGATGTTGCAGCTAATATGGCAAATAAAATCATGAACCTCCACAAATGAAGATGCTTAAAACACAACATTTCTGGTATATAGGTCATTGGGCAAATCAGGCATTGTTTACTATTGGATCCATTGGTTTTTGTTGAAATCCCAAGCTGGTTACATCTCCATGGTACTTCCCGATTCCCCATCCCCTACACCCTGAGGTCAGAGGCACATGCTGGCATCGTGGCACAACATGCGGAAGGAAAGTTGAGGAGCGAAGCATCGATGGCATCGATGGCATCGCCGCGATGGGGCGATGGGGAAGCGGTTTGATTTCAACTTCTTTCAGAGACGACCACTGGAGGAGCACATTCGGATACATTCGGTGGATTTTCCCAGGGACAGTACGGTTTTACCCGTAGAATCCTTTAGAAAAAAGGGTCGATGAAAATGACTGACGTCCCCCATTCTTCTCAGTTATGCATCAACTTATACACGATAACATATTCATATCCTATCACATCATATCCTATCATATCAAATCATATCATATGAAATACACAATGCCAATCAATGCATTTTTTTGTAGGTCTGGTTGTTTGTTGCACCTTTTTCCTTGGTGAAGGCGATCCAGACCCATCCAAGTAGCGCAACCCGTGCGCAGGACCTTTGGAAACCTCTTGATGACTTTGGAGCCCCTGCGGGTGGGACATATCTTGCAGCAGTAGCGGGGGGATGATGATTTTGGGCATCTTGTTAGGTGAACACAAATGGTAGTAAAACGTAAACTAAAGATTTGCAACATTTTTGCTACTATTGGAGATGTTTTGTTAGGTGAATCGTGGCACCCAAAAAAACATGATGGCGGTCCATTGGCAGCAACCCCTACGGTACTGCAGGCATTTATCACCGCTTCGCATGGGTGATTCTTGATCCCCCAACTCCCCATCAACCGAGCAGTATCTGGTGCATTCCCATCTGCAGGTGTTCATGTAGGTTTGTTCAAAGATTGTGGATCTAATTATATCATATTGTATAATTATATAATTATATAACCCAACTTTGGCAAAATTCGTGGGGGAAATGATGATAAACCATGACAAACCACGGGAGTTTGGGGTATAAAATTCCACCATCAAGAGAAAAGCCATGTGATGCGCAGCGCACCTCATGCCATGTGCCAGGTGGCATATCAAAGTCGCTGTCGCGCCTGCGCGGCTCTGGTGGAAGGGTTGGCTGCAAGGTGCAGGGCTGCTTGCTGTTGTTTTCTTGTTAAGACCATGGTTTAGTATGGTTTATATATTTTTCCTCCATTAAAATTGCAACGTTTGGGAATTTGATCGTATTTCTTCAATGTTTGCAGTGGGTCTTCCATTTCATTTTTATTTTATTGGGCAATCTTAAATTTCTTAATGTCAGCATCGGATGATTTTGACTACGATCCAGTGTCACATTCAACTTTGCATTAAAGATTCTGACACATCCCAACTGCATTGCCACTTCACCCATGTCGGAGGTGCCAACGGTGCGGAGGGCCCACCTTTGATCTTCCCAGCTTTTAAATGGAACAAAAGATGAAGATGGAACAATTGATGAAGGTTGGAATCAGATCCTGGACATTTAGAAGACTTCAGCTGCTGCTTTTCTTGGAGTAAACGTTCGGTCAACAAGTCTGCCATCGCCGTCCTGCTCAACGGAGTGGGGCGCAGCAGACGTCTGGCCCTCAGGGGAATAACGTGGAATTGTCCTTTTCTTTTCGGGTTCACAAAAGATTAACGATGATAAAATAAAGCATGTTAAAGCATATCAAGCTTGCAGACCTGGAGAATTGTTCCGTATCCAGCCGCACGTAATTAAGGCCGCAAGGTGTATATTATGTTGTTCTGCTGCCGCCACGCAAGCTTGCAAGTCAGGGGTTGGCCGTTGATGGCCACAACCTGCAGCCCAAAGCCATGGCTGCACTATACCCCTACGGCCCTGCAGTTGCTTTCCAGCCGAGCGGGTCAAGAGCCCTGTCAAGCAGTGGCAAATTGAGATTTCAACCAGCAGTCAGCAGAGATGAAGGAGGTTCAAACAGCGTGCAGTTGCGTGCCTTCTCCTTCTGCAATATCCTTGTCGGGCTCGGCAGCGCGCGAAGATTCAGGGGCCGAAACCACCCCAGATCACCACTTGGTGTGACTATTGTGAGGAGACTAGCCGGGTCCACTTCAACTCTGGTGGACTCAGCAGCCATCACAAAAGCCTTCAACGAAGCTTGTCGAAATGGCAAACAGCAAGCCGTTCTAAGTCTACTCAACCAGCATCCTGATGTGATCCGTTGCCTGGTCAGCAAACCTGTGGGGAAGGATCGCATTACTCCCTTCTCCTACCTCTGTTGGTTCGTCCTTTGTGATGCCATCGAAACAGTTTGCCGCGACTATGGCGATGAGATGGATGCTGAAGTGGTGGACCACGCCCTGTCGCTGGTGTGTCGTTTCGGCAAGGCTGAAGCTCTGAAGATCCTCATCCGACACTTCCCGGAAGTCTGTCGCAAAGCCATGGTGCGGGATCTGGCCGAAGCATGTCGCAAGTCTCGACTTCAAGTGGCCTTGTGTTTGTTGGAGAGTTTTCCTCAAGAAACAGTTGCAGCTCTGAAGAGCACATCCCCAGACAAAACCACGGCACTATACTGGGCCTGTCGCAACGGCTTGCATCCTGTGGTGGAGATTTTCATCCGCCATCCCAGTGAGGTCATGGAGGCCCTGAGGTTGAAAGATGGTGAAGGCCAAACAGGCCTGAGCCATGCATGTCAGAATGGGCATGAGCAGGCAGGGGATGGCAGATGGCGAGAATGGGGGGTAATGATGTTTCATGAATTCCCATGATGTATTTGCAATACTCTATGACTCTATGATATCTATGATTGCATATGACTTTAGACTGAATATGAATCAAAGGGACTTTTAAAATAGATGGAAACAGGAAGTGTTGCTATGAAACCCTTGGTATTTGGACATCAGCGGAATTGGCTCATGATTTGTGAATGACGCCAAAGGATCTTATTTGCCAGCACATGGGTAAGGGATGGTAAGGGTATGGATTGGTGATCAGTCATAGACTTCGGTCATTTCAAAAATATAATTTATGCACATCGTAAACCATGGCAGATCTCTTGTATTTTGGGGTAGTATACATCCTGTTTCTAATTGTTGCCCCCTACACGGTGTACATAAGTGAAACAGAACCATTTAATTTTAATGACACATTTATATAATGACCCTTGTACCGTAGCTATCCGTACCTTGATGCGTTACAACCTTGCTTAAGTTTGTGGCAGTCATACGATGTCATACCCAGGTGGTAAAGCTCCTAATCGATCTGCTGCCCTCTGCCGATGCCGCGGATGACTCCGTCACCGTGGAGCCTTCCGTGCCTTCCGCAGAGGTCTCGCAGGATCCGGCGATGGTCTCCCCTGATGGACGGCAGCTCTTGCAGCAGCAGGGCTACAGGTTGGTGGGTAGCCACAGTGCCATTAAACAATGTCGTTGGACCAAGAGCGCCATGCTGGGTGAGGGCCAGTGCTACAAACACACCTTCTATGGCATCAATTCCCACAGGTGTATGGAAGGCACACCTTCCTTGGCCTGTGCCAACAAATGCACCTTTTGTTGGCGTGGTCATGCGAATCCGGTGACGACCTCCTGGACATATCAAACGGATGATCCGAAAAGCATCGTATCGGAAAGCATCGCAAGGCACCTGGAGCTGGTCGAAAATGTACCTTGGCAGTACGCAGTTTCTTTCGTGGGCATGAGGGTATCTGAATTTCAGTGGTGCCAACTAGATAAACGAACCACCCGAAGCATGAGGAAAAATGAGGAAAACCATGTCCGGCATGTTGGGGCTCACTAGAATCTCTCTTTGGGTTCCAGACTAGGGACAAGGTTTTGTTTTGGCTCACCAAGTGTTCGCATGGTGCCTTGATTGCCATGGGACGCTTGAGTCACTGAGACTGAGGTGGCCGCCTCGCCACGGGCCCTGCCCGAAAGGATCGCGGAGGCAAGGCGTGTGGGGCACATGGCGCTGTCTCTGGTGGGGGAACCGGTGCTCTATCCCCATGCTCCAGAGTGGCTTGGGAGTAAAATGGCTGGAAGATTTATGTAATTAGATGATTTTGTTGGTTGATTTTGAGTGGTAGCATCAATGTGTCTTGGGATGTTTGATTTTGGATTGCTTTCAAGAAATGTGCGAAAATGCTTTCGCAGAAGATGAATTTTTATTGGCGTTTTCGGTTGGTCATCTCCAAGTTCAACCTCGGCGATGTAGCGATGTAGTTCAATTTTGTTCACAGCAAGGTTCCTTCATTGATCATTCCAAGTATTCAGTGGTTGGTATGATTCTGAACGTCTTCTAGAAAGGGACCCTCTGGCCCACTGGTAAGTCACTTGAACATGTCAAATCCAGATATGTATAGATGTTTTTTCCAAGATTTTTCCATAGTTTTCCATCTTTCCGCGCCTACTCGCTCACCCCGTGCCGTCCATGGGTTCCCAGGTTGGTCCATGAACTCCACAAACGAGGGATCTCCACCTTTCTGGTGACCAACGGCCAATTTCCGGAGGAACTTCAACAGCTCTCCTGGGTCACACAGCTCTATGTGTCACTGGATGCCCCCAATGAACATGACCTGAAGGCGCCAGATGTGGAGAGAAAAGGGTTGTAATATCACCACCCCTTTAAGGCTACTTTTAAGGGGGGACCATACCAAAATGTAAGATACATTTTTTGGGACCCCCGCTTAAATGTAAAATTGGTCGCTGAACGTCCCCCAGGTGTCGTTTTTGTGGGGAGGGGTTTCAAAATACCTTCAAAATGTAAGCTTACATTTTCAAGCCCCCCCTCAAAAACACCTTGAAACATGTAGCTTACATTTTGGGTATGTTCCCCCCCTTAAAACGGTGACGATGTTGTAATATTTTGGCTGTTTGTTTTTTCCCTTGAAGGTTTTGGTTACTGCAGGTGGAGCTGGATCTCACTGATACAGGTTGTATAATATGATTTACTTGTACTCAGTCGCAACTAGCCCACCAGCCCGGTGTATGACTGAAGCCTTGCAGGAGATCAGCAGACCTCTGTTCAAAGACCATTGGCAGCGCTTGAGAAGATCCCTTGAAGTCTTGCGAGAGAAGCGACCATACCAGCGCAGTGTGGCGCGGTTAACTGTTCTAAAGGACAAGAATATGGACAAGGACCGGGAGGGCGGGATTGACACATCACCTGTGAAGGGTCAGATGGATCTGTCCTTATGGATACCTCAAATCAATCCAAACTCAACCAAAGCATTGGTGCCCATTGCAAAATCGAATGTGAAATGAATCGTGGATTTTCCCAGCAAAACGGAAGAACAAATATCCTACTGCCATTGGTTCATATGGAGTTGTCTCAAAATCTTGAATCCCAAATCCTATGGTTTAGAAGTTTAGACAATGATTTCCCGTTTACAATTGGTTCATATACAATGCGACAATGTGGCTTCCACAATTCCACGGTACGCCATTTGCTTCGCCGCAGGATGCCTGTGATGGCTATGCGGAGCTGGTGCAGTTGGGCGACTGCGATTTCGTGGAAGTCAAGGGAGCCACCTTCGCGGGCTGGGACGACAGGAGGGTTTCCGAAGTCATGGGGGTACCCCAAATCATCCAAGTCAAATGACCATTTTAGTATTGAAACATATTGAAACATATACTTGAAACATATTGAAACCCATGGTGACTTGGGGCTTCTTTATTTTAAGAACCCACCAAATGGGGTTGTATACCTCCCAGTTTATGGTTGTTTACTAGGGTAAATGTAGGACTGTCACATACACACAAAATTGGCACACATATCGTAGTCGTGAACAGCATTCTACAACGCACCGCGTTGTCACATGCTGCATTGGCACACTCGCACACGGTTTCGCATGCAACAGTCCACCCACCTACCTTTATTTGTTTCAATCAACGGTGCTGGAAGAAATCGCCATGTGGGTTTATCCGGTCCTTTCGTTTTCTGACCGGAAGTTGGGATTTGACTACATGGGACTTCACCGAAAGAAGGTGGGTAATTACATGACATTACATGTATTTATTTTCCCAACAAAAAGGCGGACTTGAAATCACCAACCAGTGATGGGGTTGCTTTTACACTCCTTTCGGTGAAAGATGTGATGAGCGTTGAGGGAATGGCTGGCTCACCATCCAGGACCGGATTATCCATGGAATCGGTTCCATGGCATGAAGATGTACGGGACTTTGCCCAACAGCTGTCACAGTCTCTTCCTGGATACGAGATTGCTTGTGAGCACGAACATAGCTGCTCCGTGCTTCTGGCACATCGAGATCGTTTCTTTACTCCCTTCGGCCATTGGAGCCTTGCATGAACGGATTCCAGTGCTTTTGTCCTTGCATCCAAAGGCAATTGTAGTTCAAATTATTTTCAGGAAGTGCCATCGGTTTTCGGTTTATCATCATGTCCCAATATGTTATTCGATTCATTCTTTCTCATCTTATTCCTGCTAAACCTTGAATGGGTAGTTGCTCACGCCGTGACGGGTGGCCTGTGCGTTTTGGCACATTTTTGCGTTTTGTATATATATATATACGTGTATATAATATTTATATGGGGTGGGGTGGGGTGTGGTGGGATATGAACGTCCTCACGACCACGTCCTTGATATATACTACGTTGTGAACGCATGTTCCACCAACTGGAACGACCTTGATGATGCAAAATGATGCTACGTTGACAGTATGTTGGGGTGGGGTGGGGTGGGGTGGGGTGAGATATTAACGTCCTCACGACCACGTCCTTGATACTATACGTTGTCAACGCATGTTCCAGCAACTGGGACGACCTTGATGATGCAACATGATGCTACGTTGACAAATGGGCATGACTTTGATGCAGGTGAATCATCAGGCAAAACAGTTCGCAGTAAATTTGAAGAAAGCACCCAAGAGGGGTCTTAGCAAAGTTGGAGCCACCCAGTGTCT